TACATACATACATACATACATACATACATACATACATACATACATACATACATACATACATTACATACATACATACATACATACATACATACATACATACATACATACATACATACATACATACATACATACATACATACATACATACATACATACATACATACATACATACATACATACATACATACATACATACACATACATACATACATACATACATACATACATACATACATACATACATACATACATACATACATACATACATACATACATACATACATACATTACATACATACATACATACATACATACATACATACATACATACATACATACATTACATACATACATACATACATACATACATACATACATACATACATACATACATACATACATACATACATACATACATACATACATACATACATACATACATACATACATACATACATACATACATACATACATACATACATACATACATACATACATACATACATACATACATACATACATTACATGCATACATGCATACATGCATACATGCATACATGCATACATGCATACATGCATACATGCATACATGCATACATGCACATATACATACATACATACATACATACATACATACATACATACATACATACATTACATACATTACATACATACATACATACATACATACATACATACATTACATACATACATTACATACATTACATACATACATACATACATACATACATACATTACATACATACATACATACATACATACATACATACATACATACATACATACATACATACATACATACATACATACATACATACATACATACATACATACATACATACACATACATACATACATACATACATACATACATACATACATACATACATACATACATACATACATACATACATACATACATACATACATACATACATTACATTACATTACATTACATTACATTACATTACATTACATTACATTACATTACATTACATTACATTACATTACATTACATTACATTACATTACATTACATTACATTACATTACATTACATTACATTACATTACATTACATTACATTACATTACATTACATTACATTACATTACATTACATTACATACATACATATACATACATACATTACATACATACATACATACATACATACATACATACATACATACATACATACATACATACATACATACATACATTACATTACATTACATTACATTACATTACATTACATTACATTACATTACATTACATTACATTACATTACATTACATTACATTACATACATACATACTTACATTACATTACATTAGATTACATTACATTGCATTACATTACATTGCATTGCATTGCATTACATACATACATACATACATACCTTACATTAATTACATACATACATACATACATACATACATCCATACATTACATACATACATACATACATACATACATTACATACATACATTACATTACATTACATTACATTACATTACATTACATTACATTACATTACATTACATTACATTACATACATGCATACATTACATACATACATACATACATGCAGGCATACATACATACATACGAGAGAGGGAGATTGGGGAGAGAGTGGCTTGGGGGGATGGGGAGGATGGGGAGCGGAGGGAGGGAGAGAGGACGACAGAACACACCAGGGAGACAAGGGAGAGAGGAAGCAGGAGAAAAGGGAGAGGACAATGTCGGCGGACTGAGCCGGAGGCTCTAAAGTATATATGGATTTTGTGTACATATGCATATGCTATATATAATATGTATACACATTGTAATCATTTTCTGAAGCTCAAAACGCGTATCAGGGAATGGCATGGGAATGACCTGTTCTTCTCAACCACTTTTCACAAGGTCTCAGCAGGGAACGATGGAATGAACAGGGTTGTTCCTGTTGCTCAAACCGGAGAGTAGAATCCCTGTCTCAATTTGTGGCAGCACGGGTGTGGGGCGCTGCGCACTTTGGGATTGACCACACACACCATGCCCCCTCAGGCCCAACAGCGATCCTTACACTATACACCTGAACATTGCCTTGTAAATGGTGGTTTCCTTTTGGTGGAAGAAGCCATGTTTGCAAGATGTATCTTTTCAGGAGCCCTGCCCAATCAGGTGCTGCTCTCGTTCCCAGAACCTTCTTGCGGGAATACGGGAATGAACCTGCCAACCACTCCCCATCCAAATTCACAGCACAAACCCAAAGTCTCGGTCGGAAATCATGAGCTCTTGAACCAAAACCAACTTAGGGCGAGCAGAGAGTTGATTCTCTTCCGTCAAGAAGAAAAAAAAACAAAAAAGTGCCGCCACTTGAGGTCCACCTCTGAGGCCGCGGGCCACGGGCCAGGGTGCAAAGGGTTCCTTCGACTCTTAAGGGAAGTCTCTCTCTGACTCGTCTCTGCGCGTTTCGGCGAAGTCACAATCCGACTCCCATCTTTCCCTATGAAACAGCAGTGACCCAGTCCACTGTCCCTAGAAATCAAAACAAAAAAGCCCTTCTTCTTGTGGCGAAGGATCAAAACGGATCTGCCACACTGCAACTCAGCAGCACGCAACTTTCCCAACCTACACCGCGCCTTGCCCAGGGGGTTTGCTAGGTGGGCTGCGAAGGAGCGCCGAGACTCGTCCTTCAGGAAGTAGGTCCACGGCTCCTCAAGTCCAACCCCTCGGAATGTCCGGGAAACCGCAGTATCACAACAGGAGGCTCCCTTAAGCCAAAGAGACATATCACCCCCAGGTCCTGAAAAAAAAAAAAAGAACAAACACCCAAACAGATCCTTAGGCGGGGAAGGTCGTACAGGCCCGAGTCGGGGAAGAGTCAGGGCCCCTTCCCCGCGAGCTTTTCCACGACCAAAAGAAGCTGCCTGGAACCGCGCCAGGACCGACAAAACCTGACCTCTGGAACCAGAGTCCAAATCTCCCCCGTTTTGCCGGGGCCACTCAAGAAAACATCCTGAAACGTGCCCTCATGTTGGTTGAAAGGTGGCTCCCACTCAAAGTAGTCTTGAGAAAAGTGAGATTCTCCCTCATGCTGTTTTGAAGGGGTTTCCAAGCCAAAGTAGCTTTGAGAAAAGCGTCATCGTCAAACTTCCCATCTTGTTGTCTTAAGTGGGGGGTTCCACCCAAAATAAGTTTGAGAAACAAGAAGAAGAAGAAGAAACAAAACATGCTCAAACTTACCCGAAGCTTGAAGGCGTTTCCACCCCCTTTGAACAGAAAACAACTTGAGAACCCCAAAGCGCCGCCAAAAAGGCTTCCCACAACAACTCCCATCGGGTGACAGTCTTTTTTCTGGTACCTCCCCAAAATGGCGCAACGGTTCTCCTCTCGCTTTCCCTTCAAAAGCAAACAAGGGGGGTACCCCGAAAACAAAGATGCCCCCTTTCCTAGAGTGCAAGGGGAGGAGGGAGGGTGCCATGAATTGAACATGACCCCCTCCTCCAAAACTGCTCGGTTTCCCTTGCCCTTGGTGACCCTGGTAATTAGAAGTGAAGGTTGGTTTCAGGGACACCCCAATCTAAAGGGGAGATTCCCTTGTATCACAGAAGTGGTTGGATAAACCCCAAGTGATCCCACAACCCTGCTTCAAAACCAAAAGAGGGGGTACCCCGAAACCGAAGACAGACCGTCCCAATCTTTTCTCGGTTGCCTTCTGCTCCCCTGCTAAAAGTGTTTTTTTTTTTTTTTTTTTTACTTTTAGTGGTTTAATGCGGAAAACTTATTTGTTGGCAAAAAGTGAAAGTCCTAACATCCCTTGGCAAAATGCAGCAATCTTTTCCGGTCCTCCGTGAGCTCCCCGATGAGCTTCAGCTTCTCCCGAGGACTCTCCCAGTTCTCCCCCGCCAGCTTGGGCGGCGGGGGGTCCTCGTGCTGCCACAGCCGCGCCTTCTTCTCCTCGGGGCAAGGGCTGTGCCTTGCGAGCCCACCTGACCTAGGTAGCGAAACCCCCAAAAAAGCCGTTCTCAACAAGCCAGCCCAAAATGACATGGCTGTGGCTCATTCTTTTTTACCAAAATGGCACCTTGGCAAATGAGACCAAAGACCAAAACCCGCGGTTTGCCCAGCTCTTGAATTTTGAGCCACAGCCACATCTTGGAATTCCGTCATTGTGAATCTCGAAGCCTGAGATTTCAGCCTCTCTTTTCAGAACGTCCCAACCACCCCTCCCCTCCCCGCCTCCTTCTCCTCGCCCTCCTCCGCTTTCCGCTTCGCCGGAGCTTGCGCCGGAACCGGCGGCGGCTCCTCCACGGGCGGAGGCGACGGCACCGCCTTCGCCCGCGCCGCCTCGCGGAAAGAAACCCCTGGCTATGCCATCAACGTGGGACGAAATCCATTTCGCACCTAAGAAGTCCTATGATTCGATTCCCCTATACCAATACACAAATGGCTTCCCATGGCTTCAAAGCGGTGCAGGGTTTCGTCCACAGGGAGGCCCACATGGCTGTGCTCCTTTCGGTTTCCCTTTCAAAGCCCTAGGGGTGACCTCGCGAAAGAAAGCACCCACCTATTGTTGACACGAGCTCCTTTTGGCTTGTGTTGAAACAAACCTTCGCCTTACGTGCTTCAACACCTATGCTGGGCTCCCAGATACCTGCTAGAAGCCTAACCTTTAGTGCTTTAGTGGAGACGACCATCAAAACAACAACCAACAAAAAAAGACTTAGGGACCGGATGGCTGGGAACCACACCACGACCTCCGTTTCAACTGTTTCCAAACCCCTGCTTTCAGAAGGAGGATGGCGTCTGCCAGCGTCTGCCGTGGCTGGGACCAGGAAATGAGGCTCTTCGCCCCGCGCCGGCCCTCCATGGCAAATGGGCAACAGCGCAACGGCGCCGAACAGGAAAGACGTACCGAAACGACAAACCAAGGGCTTGCCAATTGGTCAGGGTGTAAACAAAAACGCAACGGAAAACAAACTCGACGGCAAGCAGAACCAAACACCAGGGAAAAGGGCATGACAAGTGATGAAAATGGCACGAACTGTCTGCGAAGAATAGAAGCGTGGGGTCTATGTTTGCGTCGTAGGCAGCTTGGGCTAAAGCTGAAGACATGAGTGTGCTGCAATCTAGTGGCTCCTCTGATACAACTCATGGCTACGGCTAAGCATAACCTCACGAACCGACAACCTCTCTGTGCACGTCGTACGGTGCACACCGGACCTGCCGGAAACACGTTCAATGGTTCGCTGACTTCGGAAACTCGCACAGCACAGCGAGAGCACACCCTCGAAAGACACCAGATTCGTCCCACATCTCACAAGGGAACTTGTGTGCGAGCCTGCGCAGCCAAAACATGCTGCCCGAAGCGAGCCTGACCTACCCCGTCCCTTCACTCTTCCCGCAAGAACCCCTTACTGTACACACACTGTTTGGGGAAGTATTCCCAAATACTTTAAGCTTCCACCCAGCCGCGAAACCAGTTGGAGTCAGTTGGAGTTGGTGAGAAGCGGTAAGACTGGCTCGAAACACAAGCCAGGATTTGGAGTCTACGTTACAGGAGTGCATCTCATAACGGGCCCAACAAAGGTTGGCTTCCTTTCGGATTCCTTCTCCAACCCAAAAAGCGAAGACTAAAAAGACACGCGCCCACAACGGTTGCTTCCCACGCTTCCCCAAACTCATCCTGCCAGGTTCGCCCGAAGCCCACTGGTAAACTACTGGGATGCAATTAGATCAAATTGGTGAGCATATCTCGGTGCTCAGAATGGAGCTAGCCTTGCAATCCCCGGGCGTAACACCAATTGGCCATGCAGCACCATGATCAAAAAAGACACACGGCACCAACACATGCGTCTGCAGCAAAACAATACAACCATTCCTTTTCTGTTGCCAAGGCTGTTCCGGTTCCGCGTAAACGGCCGACATTTCATTGTCCACCTGGATGACCCCAAAGCAGAATGGCAGTTCTTATGCAGCGATTCTTCTGGGGACTCTGCACTTTCGGCAATTGCGGCTGGCAATCCTATGTGAGCACCCACTGCACTGTCGGCAACCCAGAGCAAGTTGGCCGTGGGGGCATGGGTGGCATTGCGCGCAGGCTCTCTCCAGCTTGCCGTGGGGGCATGGGTGGCATTGCGCGCAGTGTCGCTCCAGCTTGCCGTGTGGACATGGAGCGCACAGTCGGCATTCGGTCTTCCTTTTGCCGTGTTTGCACCCATTGCACTGCTTGCAGTTTCTCGTTATCCTGCCGTGCGGGCACCCAAAAGTCACATGTAGATTCTGGAACCGCAAACCTTCCCCCCAGCTCACCCTAAAAGACTTGGGTGTTGTTTCTTCTTGGAAGGACCCCCAAAATAGGTGTTCCTTCCGGCTTCCCTCTTCCCTTTAGACCAACCCCAAAAAAGGGGGGGCACCCCCCAAAAAAAATGGACGCCACACCCTTTGACCCTTCTCCCGACCTTCATGCCGGCCGCGCGGCAGAAGTGCTCCAGGCCTTTCGGGAGTGGAAGGCGACGTGGATTTGGACCATCGGCCTTCGGCCTGTTTTGGCGATAAAGCCTGCGGGTGGAAATGGGTGAGCCGCATGTCTTCCCTCTATCAAAGTCACCCATTGGCAAGTGGTAGGTTGAAAGGGACCCCACCAAGCAGTTCCTGACTTTGACCCGAAACAGTCAAGATCATGACGCCATGGATTTCGGCTTTCAAAAAAAAAATAATGAGCTGTGAGCTGTGAGCCTCAAACACACTCAGTGAGTGCCTCCCTCGAGGAGCCAAAGGGATTGCTGGCTGGAACATGGCCTTGTTTCCTGTGGCGCCTCTATACATTGGTTCATGTTGGAACTCTTGGCCAACCCACGCTGGGATCCCAGGGAAATAATGGAATACAGTAGGTTGCAACATATGGCCGTGGGTCAAAATCCCGGTGACCTTTCAGTGAACATCCCAATCCCCACTAAAGTAGACTAAAATGGGGGGTGCACCTACCCCAAACTGGTACCATTGGTTTTGACCCACAGCCATATGTTTAAACACTGTGGACTTTCACTCTTTTCCTCCGAGCAATGCACCCTTGAAGATTCTTGCGCTCCTGGTGATGTTGCACTGTGCCACACTCTGAAAATTAGCGCGTCGGGGCAGCATTCGACTCGGTGAGTGCCTCTACACTCACAAAAGGGTCGGAATGCCACAAACCAACCAAAAGACAAGCCAAGTGGCTCCAAAAATATGAGGACGTGCAGTGTCATTCTCCACTGTCGTGGTGCTGCCGGTGCTCGTGGTGCTGCCGGTGCTCGTGCTGCCGGTGCTCGTGGTGCTCGTGCTGCCGGTGCTCATGGTGCCGGTGCTCTCAAAACCGATAGAAAAGGTCGTGGTCTGTGTGGCTTCCGAGTCCAGCGACGGCTCCTCTAAGGTCATCGCCGCTTGGAAGTTCACCTGGTCATAGCCCGAGCCGACCGCCGTGAAGACCAACATCACGTCCTCGCCGGCGGTCTGCAACCTGCGGCCCCCGCCAGCGCCAAGGCCACAGGTTAGGGACACCGAGTCCGAACCAATCAGACCTGATGTGCACAGCGGCTGGGGCGCAGATTCCTCATCGAAGATCTGGTAGTCGCCGCTGCTGCGGAAGGCACTGCTGTCATAGACCTCCACCAAACCCATATCCGTGCCACTGGTTGCACTGGAAGTCTCACCATAGATGGACAGCCTCCGATTGTGACGGCTTTCAACTGAGCTGGCACGGACATCCAAAACGATGCTCTCAGTGAACTCGGTGATGTTTGAAGCCACAACCTTGCGGTAGGTGGCATTCCCTGCACTTCGCACACCCGCTGGATGCGCATTGGCATCTGACAGCTCCCGGTAGTAGATGTAGGAGTAGTAGTTGCAGCGCTCCACGGATGTGCCGCATCCTCTCGTCCAGGCCATCCAACCCGGATTTCCAGGTCCCGAGCCCTTTAAGGAGGCCGCGATCGAAGCGCTGGAATCGTGGAGCTCGTAGTAGTGCTTCCGGGTCAGGCGACATCGACCTTCCACGATCTGCCAAGCCACACACGGATTCAGCTGAACACCATTGGAATCGGTTTCCACGGTGCCGCCCATCAAGGGAAGCCAACTCAAAGTGCGGCATTGCTCACAGCAAGCCTCTGCATCTGCAATGGTGTTCATGATGAGGCTACCTTTGCAGGACCCTTCAGAGTTGTCATTTGGATCACATTCGTGATTGGGCAGTTCAGCACCCATGGAGAAAATCTCACCCTGCGGCAAGTTGGGACCAACTGTAGGTTCAGTTGAAAGGCTCAGGCGTTTGAAGCCGCCATCGATCACACAACGACCAGCGGTGTGCAGGTTTGCCGCATCGGCTGCTCCCGCTGCGTGACGATAGAACAAACGCCCAGTGTTGCAACGCGTATTTTGGTACTTCACTGACCTGAAGCAAATCACAACATGACTCACGTGAAGGCAAAGAGATATAGATATGTATATGTAGATAATATACAGAGATAGATATACAAATAAAGATATATTGTGTTAGTACCAAGACCAGGCTTTTTTTGATCGTCCACGCCTGCCAGAAGAGGAATCCATGTTGGCGTAAATGATCTTCTCCCGGTCCACTCGACACTGATCCCCTGTCAGCTGGAAGAAAAGTGCAGCACCACCGTCATCCCAAGTGGATTGCTCGAAGGACATGGCCCTCAAGCAGCACTCTAACTCGCTGGCCACCGTGAAGAAGCTAGAGTAGGGCGTAGGATTCCCCTCATAGTTGGGGTAGGTTCCTCCATACGTGGAGCCCCAGCCACAGCCCAGTTCAGCATCCGCCAGGCGCCATTTGCCCACGTCGTTGTTGGGCGTGTCGTGTTGGCAGGCCGGCCGCCCTTCACCCGATGAGCCGCAGCTCCAAGGATTCTCGGACAGCAAGGTGTCCAGCCCGGCGCACGCCAGCTGCGCGTCCGAGATGTTGGGCAGCTCCCGGGTCCAGGCCCGATCCACACAAGTGATCATATCTCGGCCGCAGCCGTAAGCTGGAAAACAGGCGACGCCAAACTCCGCGTTCTCTTGGGCCGTGCCAACTCCCGAGGCTTGTTTCTGGCAAATCACGGCATCAGCGGAGCTGGCCGGCGAAGTAGTTCCGGCACGGCGACGGGCACCTCGAATTTCCGCTGGGGTTCAAGTAGGGGTCGTCCAATTGCAGTTCAGTTGACCCGCTGACGTTCATGTCGGCCAGGCTCAAGGTCGCAAAGGCCAGGGCCATGGGCTTTGCCATGATCACAGCCATCAGCTCGGACGATGTCCGAAAATCCCCAGTGGTCTGCGAGCACTTCACATGCGGTACAGTTCAAGATCTGGGCTGCCAACTTGTCAAACATCATGCTGGCAAACATGACGCTATGAAATAAGGAAAGGCCAAGTTGACCAATGACGGTTGCAGGAGCCCTCACCAAGGGCTCCTTGAGTGAATTGCTCGATCCGACCGTCCACTCTCAGACTCTCAGACTCTCAGGCGCGGGCGCCGGAATTCGGCCTCGACACGGGCCAGCAAAAAAATGAGTTGGGATGACCCTTTGAAATCATCCAGCTGGTGGTTTCCTAGGGGACCAAAGCCTGGGTCCATTCCATTTCACATTCCCTACTTATCGCACCAGGGGTAAAATGGGTTGTGCCACTGTCTAGGTGATCACTGGGCTGCACCGTGGCGCCCCAATCAGGGTTAGGGAGCCCATCGCCAACGCTTCAAATGTGGTACTTTCGGTCCAACTTGGGCATTGGAGTTGCCGCGTTTTTTGTTTTCCTTTTCCCTCCCCACTCACATGAATTCTCTTGATGTTCCTTTTGGGCACCCAAAACCAGAAATGGAATCATGAGAGCTGTACATGGCCCTCTGCTAACGCTGCTAACAAAACAGCTGGTCTGTTGACTTTAACTAACGAGAAGCTCCTGGAATTCGACGTACTTCTTGGTATTGCAACACAGGAAAAAGAAAACACCATGCTCATTCCAAGTGCCAAACGATCGATCCAAGGTGCTGAACGAACCCATGTCTGCCCTCTCGAGAAATAGCTCTGCCAGGAACCCGCGGTTTGACTTTGACCGGTCCCAAGTTGAGTTGTCCTTTTTGAAAGTACCCTTTGTGAATGTGTCGCTTTTTCAGGGACCCCCTTCAGATGTGACTTAGGGGAAATGCAGGGAATGAATGGAAACAAAAGGGGCATGAAGGGAAACGGAGAGCAATGACGGGGAACTGAAGAGGGACATGAAGGGGGAATGAAAGGGGCAATGAAGAGCAATGACAAGGAAACGAAGGGAAACGAAGGGGAGGACATGAAGCGGAGATGGCAGGGAAATGAATTGGAAACGAAGGGGAGATGAAGGGGACATGAAAGGGAAATGAACTGAAATCAAGGGGAAAAGAAGGGAAATTAAGGGGAAATGACGAGCAATAAGGCAGGACATGGGAGGATATGCAAGGGAAATGAAGGGAAACGGAGAGCAATGAGGGGGCAATGAAGGGAAATGAAGGAGGAGAAATGAAATGGAAATAAAGGGGAATGAAGAACAATGAGGGGGAAATGCAGGGAAATGAAGCGAGATGAAGGGGAAATGCAAAAAATATGAATGGGACATGCATGGTAAATTAATGGGAAATTAATGGGAAATGAAGGGGAGATGAAGGGAAAATGAAAAAGATATGAAAGGGGAATGAAGGGGAAATGACGGAGGGGAAATGAAGCAGGGAAAATGAAGCAGGGGAAATGAAAGGGAAATGAAGGGAATCGAAGAGGGGAAATAAGAGAAAAAGTGGAAATAAAGGGGAAATGAGCAGCACGTGAAGGGGACGATCATGGGAGACGCAATGTCGGCGGACTGAGCCGGGCTAAAGCTTCAATCGGTTTCCCGAGAAGCCAAGTGCAGACCGAGGCTCCAGGACAAACATGATCCGAGGGTCAGATTGCCATTCTTCACACTCCTGGCCGGTTTCAAAGCAAAGTGGAGTTAAGTGTCCAAAAGCACGCTGGGGGAATGTACGAATGAACGGAAATCTGCTTAGATGGTGTGGGACAGGGTTTCTTCAAGGTAGAGTGTTCCGAAGGCTTGACATCCCCATCACCAGCCTCGCTTGAACCTGGAGTTGCCTATTGGCTCTGATTGGGTGGCAGTTGGGAGTTGCTAGGGGCTGGTTTAAGTCAGGGGAACTTTAGGCTGGCTTGGATCTTCATGAGGGCGGGTCTTGGGGTGGTGTGGGGTTGATTTAGGCAAAGCGAAGGGCTGACATCCAGGCTGCTGTTGGGCGGGTGTAGTGACTTTGGGTGGGTTTGGGTTGGCTTGGAGCTGATTTGTGTTAGGTGCCCTCATGAAGATCTAAGCTAGTCCAACCCCCCCCCCCCCTCAAATCAGCCCCCAGCAACTCCCAGCTGCCACCCCATCAGAGCCAATAGGCAAACTCCGGGCCAAGTGAGGCTGGTGATGCCCAGCCAACCAACCAACCAAAGCAGGGGCCCGGGCCTAGCAACAAAAAACCGCCCTAGGCCACAAAACCACCTCATCCGGATTCTTTAAGGGGATCCTCTAAAATCAGCTTGCAGGTGACTTTTTGTTGCAAGGGGCGAGGGGCTTTTGGTGTTTTGGGTACCCTTCGTGGGGAGTTGTTAGGTAAGCCGAAGGGAAACCACGGCCCGAGCCTCCGGCTTCAGCCGCTCCAGGCCCCCCCAGTGACGGACGGCCTGTGAACAGGCTCCCACTGGGCCGGGGTGGGGGGCAGGGGGGGGTTGGGGGGTTGGGGGTGGGGGGGGTTCGCTGGTGGGCTTGTGGGTGGGGGGTAGGGGGTTGGGGGGTTGGGGGTTCGGGGGGTTGGGGGGTTCACTGTGTTCAGGTGCAAGTCAACCAAACAAAAACTCAGTGCAAGAACACCAGCCACGAATCACGGCAATCAATCGGCAACTTGAAGAGATGGTCGTGTTTGCTTTTGATGCAGAGCCCCGCAGAAAAGGTGTCCAGTGAAGCAAGCGACCTGCAAAAAAAGACGTGCCAGGCGCAAGTGCATGATGAGAGTCGGGCATGTGAGGGCCCGGCCACTGCAGGCTTCAAATCCTTTCGAGGTGTCAGAAGGCCGTTGCAAAGGGTGAGAGCCTTTGCTCACGTCATGGGCAATGAGGTCAAGGTGGCAACCGAAAGCTGCAAAGCATCAGTTTGAGATGGCTCATTGCACCTAGGCTTTCTGCTGTTAGGATTTGCTGGACTGCTGAGAGTTTTCACGAACACTCGCCCTGCAACCACAAACCTCTAGCAATTTCGACTACAGTTCGCAAACGAGTAAAGATGAGAGACGTTCCCCTTGTCTTGCTTGCTCTCAGTAGGTTGTTTTTTTTCCCAGGGCCCTGTACCAACCACCTGGTTTGGACTGGCAAGGTGTACTCCCAGCCACCAAATCGCTTTCGCATGAAACTTCGGGTCTAGGCGAGAAAGAGAAAGCCCTCCAAAAGCCTCCCGGGCTCCGCTACGAATCCGCGGAGCAAAAGACGGGGTTTCCTCGTGCGAATTGGACAGCGAAGAGACTCACCGAGGCCGTCGTCCCCAAGGCCCAGGACACCTTCCCCGGGAAAAAAAGGAAGAAAAACGGACGCCGCCGGTCACACCAACCGCGCTCTCGCGCCAACCAACCGCCTTGGACACGCTGGGATGCTCCAGAGCCTCAAGACGGTTCGGATCACTGACTCAGGTCTTTACGCAAACAAAGTGGAAAACCGAGGCAAGACATGTCAAAAGAGGTGCCTCGGTTCAACCAGCCCGAGGTCTGAAGCTAGTGAAAACAACCAGTTTTCACATGGGTCTCGACCCACCATTGCAAGTGCACAAGTCCCCTTGATCGAACCACACGGAAACCACAAGCTGAAACCTCCGCTTTGGCCCCGGCGCCATGGAAAGACTCGTTCTCCTTCAACGACTTAAGCACTTTGGCAACCTCGGTGACAGCATTCAAGCTCAAATCGTCATGTTATAATTAATGATGCGAGCTCGATGCTTCTTGTCAGGTCTTCGTGTTATAGCGAATCATTGGATCGCTCTATTGTATCATCCTGGCCATGTCCCAGGCCTCCACCAGCCCTTCGGCCATAGCAAGGAAGCGCTTCCGTCGCAGGCTCGCAGTGCAGGATTTGCAGCTGAGGTGTTCCTCGAGCAAACTTGGGCTCGTCTCTGAGTCCATTGCAAGTGGTGAGCTCAGCGGTTCTTCTGGGGCACTTCCTGTTCTTGTAATGTGGCTGAGAGTGGCCGGCGTGAGGTGTCCATCGCTTAACCTCTCAACCAGTCAAAAAACCTCTCTGCCTCTCAACCTCGCAGGCTCTCCATCTCACAACCTCTCCATCTCTCCGCACTGCACTTTGCGCTCGCGCCTTTGGTGTCGCGCAATTCCTCTCAGTGCGGAAAGCAAAGCTCCATGCGCCCGGGGCAGAGCCCGTGAATCGTGAGACCCATGCAGCAGATCATCAGACCCCCTGCGCTCGGTTTGAGTTGCCATAGCACCGCAGGGGTTTGAGTCCCCAGAGGTGAAACCCGACGAACTTTTCGTCACGCCCTTTTTTAGTTCAGGCCGCTGCCAATTCAATTGACTGCCTCAAGTTCGGCAAGGCTCAAATGGGCCGAAGCAAGCAAGAAACCACCCGTTTGACCAAAGAATGACGAGCCGATCAGACTTGCAACCCAATAGATGACTCATAACTGCAGCGCACGACTTCACGCCGACATTTGCTGTGCAAGTGCCCAACAGTCGAAACAGGCTAAGCTCATGGCGGCAAAGCGTCGCATTCTAGTCGGCACCCACCTTGCCATCACTGGGCAAGCCTATGCGTCTGTGGCCTGGTAAGTTTCAGGACCAATGTCCATCTGACCCCGGCTTTGCGAGCCTAAGACAAGTCTGACATGCCGACAAAGCGTCGAACCCAAGATTCCAAGCTTCAGTAGAATTGATCACCAACCTCTGGTCAACCTTAAGGGTCACCCGGAAAAGTGCAAGTCTATCAGTGGACCCTCCAAAGTTGGAGTTCAACTGCGGATCTGTTGGATCTTGAGTCCATTCTGGGATCTTTCGGTTTAGTCTAGTGCTGGAGGAATGCAAGTTTTGTGTACGTTGATTGCTTTGTCTGCTGTGTGTGTGTGTGACAATGGAGTTCATGCAAAGTTGCGGGCGTTTGGGTATTCCTCTGATTTCTGCTGAGATCCCATTCGGCCATCATGATTTGATATAGCTGAGTTGGGTGGGATCAGCCCATTGTTTCCTGGAAGTGAAACTTGCTTAGCACAGTCGAGTATTGAATTCTTTAGTGCTGCTGAACACGATGCCTGTAGCACGAAACTGGAAAGTATGGATTTGAAATGCCAAGCCAAATCCCAGAAAGTGAGGACCAAAATCGAACGTCGTGATCAAATCACAAGGATCGGCCTTGCAGGACACAGTGACCTGTTGATGTGACCATTCTTTCAGACAAGGAACACTGAAACTGTTCACTCCCGTGTTGGAACAAGGACCACCTCTTTTCTACTGGGTCCACTAGATGCGATTCTTGCCAGGGCTTCCCACCCCCAAGCTAAATATTGTTCGAACCCTCCAAATGCCAGCCCCTCTCTTCATGTCAGTGCACGAGTAGGCAACCCCCACCCCACCCCCGATTAAAGGTGTCCCCTTCCCCACATTCCCTTCCCATACTAAAGGGGCCCTGGCGAACACACGCTGGTTGCCCAGGAGACAAGGGCAGAGCTCAACATGGGCCAAATGTGGAAAGATCCAACCAGACCCCGCGAAATTTCCCCCAGCGACCCACTCCATCGCGACCCATCGATCGATGGGTCGCGACGGATCGCCTGCTCCTCGATCTCCTGGATGCGCCTCTGCAAGCCCAGGATCTGCTGCTGCAGAGACCTGAGCTGAGACAGGCTCCTTGGATCGTTTCTGGTTGGTCGGGGCTTGGTGGCTTGGTGGGGGAGGGGGGGGGTTGTAAACCACGAGGATGCCAAGGCAAGGCTCCTCTGACAAAATTGCCGGCCATGAACAAATTGTGCGTCAAGCATTGTCCAAACTCGGACAAGTAACGAATGGAACATGTCTCGGTCCTCAGAATGCTTCAAGTCAAGCCTTTCAATCCCTGTAGACGTAACAACAATTGGCCATGCAGCATCGTGGTCTAAAAGACACGCGGAACCAACACCAGTGTTTGTAGCACAACAATACAACCATTCACTGGGTTCCCCTTCGGTGCAAAGGCTCGTTGCCAAGGCTGTCGCGGTTTCGCGTGCGCGGCTGCCATATCATTCTCTGCCGCGATGACGCCGGGCTACAACTTTGAAACTCAAACTGTCGAATGTCTTGGCCCGCCCAATCGGTCTGGCGGCAACATGTGCAGTTGCTCATATGCCATTTTGGAAAAGGCCGAGAAGCACGGTCGATTGTGTGCTTGTGCAGCCATGCTTTGCACTTTCGCGCATCTGCGCTTGCGGTGCCCATGCGGACACCCGCTGCACTGTCGGCAATCCGCAGCGATGTGAAGGAGGGGCACCCATTGCACTTCATGCAGAAACGCTCAATCCTGCCGTGCGGAAATCCACTGCAGTGCTTGCAGTCCGCTTTGACCTTGCCATGAACACGTGTTTGCCACGTTCTAGAGTCTTCTTGCTGACCGTCTGAAGCCATTCTACACCGTGCTTCCCCTGGTTATCCACACAAGGTTGTAGAGCAAGCAGATAGGCCTTGGTAAGGCGCGGCGCAGAATCCTCCGAAGGGTGGCAGGGTCTTCCGACTCTGCAAGCTCCTGCTCCAGGCCGCCAAAGGATGTTAATCTGCCAAAATCCGAGCTAATCTGCTGCTAACTGCCCTGTCCTTAGGACCATTCAAAGACTCCAAGTATCGTACAAAGAATAACCACCTGGCTGGTGCAGCTGTTTCATTGAGCTTGTGCCTCCACGCATTTCCTGTTGCCACTGAAACCATCGGCAAGGATGATGCGCTGTCGTTGGAAGATGAGAGAGCCCGGTACCACCACACGCTTTTGAGGAAAGAGTGCTGCAGCTGTTCTGCATCGCTATGAGCTGCAGAGAACGCAAATGAGCAAGCCGCAACTTGAGAAACATGCCTTCACGTGGTTTCTTGGCTTGTTGCGCTGCCCAGGGATGAGACAACACAAGATCACAATGGCCTTTCCGTGGTCCTTGCGTGGATTCTGTTCATAGTAGCCCCAAGCTATGTAGGCGGGTCTTATTTGTAGGACCCCCCCGCCCAAACCCAAAAGAAAAGGTGAGTTGTCCTTTTGATTTTCCTTTAAAACCAACAAATTAACAAAAGCCACCTTCGAAGAAAGACCCCCCAAATGTAAGCACACGATGCTTTGTCGCAGTCCTAATCCCGGATAAGAAACAGCAAACGACAAACCCATCTCTCCTGATGGATAAACGCTGTCCCTGTCCATTGCCACGGCTCAAGTTCGGGCCCCTGGCGTCTTCTCGCCCTTCAAGGTGGTGATCTGCTGTTGAAGACCTGGCGAAAGTCCGCAATTGAAGCCCAGCGATACAAATCAATTGATGGAATTCGCACACGGAAGCAAGAAAGCACGAAGCCCAGCGGTCATTCTGTCTCACTGTTCAAACTCGGCATGTCATCGCTATTTGTTAGAGAAAGGCAACACAAGCGGTCGCGAAAACCTCTGGTCTCAGCAAGAGGCATCGGGTCGACCCCACCATGCTTCAAGGCCACTGCAACACGCCATGGGACTCGAAGCAAAAACGGCTAGCCCCCAGGAATGTAGTAGCGGCGCAAGTACCGATGTTTCCGTAGCAAAATCGTAGTAGTAGTTGTTGTTGTTGTTTTCGTGGTAGTAGGAGTTGTAGTAGTGGTAGTAGTAGTAGCAGCGGCAGTAATCGTAGAATTAGAAGCAGTAGTAGCAGTCGTATAGTAGTACTAGTAGTAGTAGTAGTAGTAGTAGTAGTAGTAGTAGTAGTAGTAATAGTAGTAGTAGTAGTAGTAGTGGTGGTGGTGGTAGTTGTAGTAGTAGTAGTAGTAGTAGTAGTAGCTAGTAGGTAATAGGTAGTAGTTGTTGTTGTAGTAGTTGCAGGAGTAGTAGTAAGAGTAGTAGTAGTAGTGGTAATAGTGGTAGTAGTAGTAGAAGTAGTAGTACCAGTAGTGGTAATAGTGGTAGTAGTAGTAGTAGTAGTAGTAGTAGGAGTAGGAGTAGTACTAGTAGAACTAGTAGTAGTAGTACTAGTAGAAGTAGAAGTAGAAGTAGAAGTAGAAGTAGAAGTAGTAGTAGTGGTTCGTAGTAGTAGCAAGGTAGAACTAGTAAGTAGTAGCAGTAGTAGTAGCAGTAGTAGTAGTACTAGTACTAGCGGTAGACCCAGTAGTCGTAGTAGTAGTAGTAGTCGTAGTAGTAGTAGTAGCAGTAGCGGTAGTAGTAGTAGCAGCAGTAGTAGTAGTAGTAGTAGTAGTAGTAGCAGTAGCAGTAGCAGTATTAGTAGTAGTAGTGTCAGTTGTAGTGGCAGTAGTGGCAGTAGTGGCGGTAGTAGTAGTAGTAGTAGTAGTAGTAGTAGTAGTAGTAGTAGTAGTAGTAGTAGTAGTAGTAGTAGTAGTAGTAGTACTAGTAGTAGCAGTTGTTGTTGTTGTTGTAGGAGGTGTGAGGTTTTTTTAGGGTGGGTGGGGGGGGGGGGGGGGGTAATCTTGCTCTCTTCCTTGTCGAACACGACGGGACATCTTGAGCACGCAAAAACTCAGAAGACGTTGCTTCTCAAGTGTCAGGATGGCAAGATTTAACCAACTCCACCCTCGAAATCATGCTACATCAATTGCTACGAACAATTAGGCATGTTCCACTTTATGGGCGAAACCTGTGCGAAAGAAAACTCAATCGATGGCCACAAAGCCATATGGGAAAATGGGCACCCCGCAGCAGTAGCAGCAGCAGTAGTAGCAGTAGCAGTAGTCGCACAACAGCAGCAGCAGCAGTAGTAGTAGTACTAGCAGTGGCAGCAGTGGCAGCAGCAGCAGTAGTAGCAGCAGCAGTAGTAGCAGCAGCAGTGGCAGCAGCAGCAGTAGTAGTAGCAGCAGTAGCAGTTGTAGCAGTTGGAGCAGTTGTAGCAGTTGTAGCCGTAGTGGCAGTGGCAGGAACAGCAGCAGTAGTAGTAGGAGGAGCAGCATCTCAACAATGTGTGTTTAACGTGTGCGTGCGTGCCTTTGGCAGGCTCAGATTCACCTAGTTTGACAAGCAATCCTCGTGTCATGGCGCCTTTTCCACAGATTTCGCTAAGCCCCGCGCCCGCCTGAGAAATAGGCTAGCAACTGCCAGTTCACTGTGAAACAAAGCAAAGCCGCGCCGGCGCCACGGCTGTTCTCCGCCTTTTGCTGCGCAAAGTGCCTTTTCACCTCGTCCTGGGGTGCAGCAAGAGGTTTCAGAAGCACCAATGAACTTGAAACCACACCAGAACTCCGTTGATTTGTCACTCAACTGAGATCATACGCCCAAGGAAACCTCATCCTTTTGGGTCCTGCAAGCGCTGGACGTCTCCGACCATCGTCTTCTTGAGCTCTTGAAGTTGACCCTGATAGTGTTCCTGCGACACTGGTGCGTGAAACCAGCCATGCTGGCCATGCGGCTTGTCTTGGCCCCTTCTACGGCCGGATGGTTTAAGGAGAAAAAAACAGCCCCTCCGAATGCGGGGCCCCCAAACTTTTGGCCACGCATTTGATCCTCAAAGAAACTGCATCCCCCACTAAAACACATCAAACAACCACACTGTCACATTTACCCAGGGCATCGCAATGTTCTGAGCCTCCCCGCCTCGATGCCAGCCTTGTCGCCACGAAGACTCTCGATTTCCTGGCCATGTCCCGCGCTCAGCGGACACAAACCAACCCCAAAACACCCTTAGCCCAACTGGGGGTGTCTATTTGGGAGTTGGTACCCTGTGTTTGTGGTTTTGGGGGGGGACGCCAAAAGGAAAGCCGAAGCCATTTGAGCGGGTCCTGCAAAAAAGACACCCCCAACTCGGTGAGGAGTGCCTTCTACCATCCCCGAGCTCGGCATCGATATGAAGGCTCTCGCGTCCATCAACCAGGAATAGACTCGGGGTCGCACGAGGAAACCAACGAAAATGCAACAGGAATCGGAGACAAAACGACAAGGAACCCGAGGACCAAAACCAAGAGAAAAAAACACGGAGGAAAACCAACAAGAAGCAAAGAGAAAACACTAGGAAGCCAAAAAGGAAAGCAGGAAATCAAAGAAACAAAGCAAAAGCAAAAGGAACGCAGCAAACCGAAAGAAAACCAAAGAAAATGGAAGCCAACTTGAAACCTGAATCAAAAAGGCTAGTTGCCGCCGACTCCAAATACGTACTTAGCATGATGGCATCCCAATTACTCTGAAAAACCCAGCTGTTCTAAGATGTCCTCAAAGAATCTGGCATTTGAAGCAGGGGAAGAAACGGCCACCAGCTCCATTCACGCTTTGCCAGCAACTCTGCGCACGTTTTCCCATTGGGCGGCTTCCTTTTGGCTTCCCGCGAGCCCCGAGAGCCAATGGCCTGCCGCTGTGCGGCCAACTCCTCGTTTTGCATCGAGATGAAGTCCTGGCCGAGGACTTGGCCGGTCCTCCGACCGATTTGAGGGGCCCTCCTTTTGAAGCCGACATATGGGGTGTGGCTCAAGAATAAGGGTCCAATTTGGAACCCTGGTGAATGGAAAGGTAGACTAAAACCTGCGACCCCCAGCTCTTTCATTGTGAGCCACACCCATATTGTTCTTTGTGCAAGGGGGTGGGGAACCCAAAAACACCTGCCATAGTCACATTCAAACTAAGGGGGAACTCATAGCCGTCCCTAGGAAAAGCACCTCGGGTAGGTATTTTGCAAATGTGAACAATTGCAGTGACCCCGTTCTGCATCTGAAGTTCATATTCATCTAACGGAACAGCAATCCATTTCAATAAAGTGCCACTGATTCTTTTTGACGGCAAGAATCCCCCCCCCTGACAAATAGGTCTTCGCCAAAGGGCGACCTTGAAACTTGCTGTTTGCGACCTTTTTTTGGCTTTACCTTTGATCAAAACCTTGAGGGCACCCTCCAAAAAACACGCCACACCCGAATGGGGGGTCCTTGGTTTTGAGGGTACTCCTGTTTGGCGTGTGCGCGTCTTTTTCTTTTTGATGGAACCAAAATGAAACCGACACCATTTTGGGGTGTCCTTGTCTCCAAATATGAAAACCCCCTAAAATTTGCGGAGGTCCTCTTCCTTGCCGCTCAAAGCAAAAAAAGGCAAAAGCAAGCTCCGAGTCCTAAAACAAGCCACGCCCCACCTGGGACGGACCCAAGCGAACCGTGGCTCGCTCGCGCGCGCCTCCAAGGCCGCCAGCTTGCCCTTGAGCCCCGTAGGGGCGATGCTGCCCATCGTGGCGTCCATGGCCTGCTGCCAGGCGTGGGCGTCAGTCAAGACGAACCACCAGGATATGGACCGCAGGTTTAAGGGAATGAAACGTGGAATGAACCATCCCAGGCGTATGAACCACCAGGAATTGGACGGCAGGTTTTTCGTCTATTCCATTTACCAGGGGTGCATTCTGGGGCTAACCTTTTTTTGACCACCACACCCACGGCATTGGTCCCCCACGAAAGCACCAGTTGGATGGGTTTTTGGGGGGTCATTCCATGTCTCATTCCCTGCGGAGCAACTGCAATCTTTTGTTGCGACCTGAGCACCGAAAAGAATGGGACTCCCTCGTCTACAAGATGGGTTGCCCAATCTGGAACATAGGAATCGGCACAAAATGGTTACAAAACGGGGAAGTAGACTCAAACCGGACAGACTGAGCTGCTTTTGATCGTGGCTCTGGATCCCAAAAGATTGAAGTCCAGGAACTCAGGCAGCGAGCTGCGAAATTCCTTTGGCTGGCCCTTCAAACTGGCAAAAAAAAGAGTTTTGACGACGATGGGCCTGTGACACCTGTGAGTGTCGAATTTTGAGAGCTTGGACGCTCTGGACATTTACACGGGGGTTCATGCCCAAAGCCTTTAACACCAAAAGCGTTTCATGGCGCTCAAGCGTTCAAACTCATGAAAGAGGTCAAGCCCACACTTCCTCTTGCGGGCGGTTTGTACACTCATGTACACTCACCTCCCGCCCAACGACCGGCTTCCGGCGGAAAGCTCCAAGCCCCACAAACGGCTGGCTTCTTGAGGCAGTCTTTGGTCGCGAGACCCGCCAGAACCAACCCACCAAACCCACCCTCCCAGCATCGCGGGCTACCAGGTCCCCAGCTTGAGGAGAGTACGCCGGAGCTTGCCAGAGTTTGAGCCCTGCGCTGGTTGCACGGAATCCGCTGCAAGTACCCCCTCAGTCAAACAGAGAGAGAGAGAGAGAAGAAAATAGACAAGGAAAGAGAGAGAGAGAGAGAGGGACACAGAAAGCGAGAGAGAGAGAGAGATACAAAAAGAGAGCGGGAGAAAGAGAGAGGGAGAGCAACAGTAGAGAGGGAAGTTGGCGAGAGAGAGAGAGAGAGAGAGAGAGAGAGAGAGAGACAGAGAGAGAGATAGTGCGAGAGTCGGAAAGAGCAAGGGGATAGATGGAGAAAGAAAGGCAGAGAGGGAGAGAAGGAGCGAGAGAGAGAGAGAGAGAGAGGATTCATGTTCAGGGACGCCCTCGAATTAGTGAGCTCATTCTACTTTGACCTTCTCTCCAGATCACCCTGCTCATAGAAACCCTAACCACCTCGCTTGTCAGACCTGCAAGCAAACGGAGCACCCTGTTGGTTGGCATAACATGGGTCAAAGTCCATCAAAGGGCATTGGGGTCAACGGGCTCTCCCAGCAATCATAGCGTATGTTGGCAGGGACTCTTCCTTTTGGGCGGGTCATCTCATGCCCAGCGATAAATCCCTTCACATCAAAAAGCCCCAACAGACTTTCCTTTTTGATCCCTGGGTGTGTGTGTGTGTGTGTGCATGCATGTGCCTTGCAGTTCAAGCGGGACTTCCAGAAAACCACACACACAAGCAGCGCGCTCCTTCGTCCGCTCGCTCCCCTTCCGCACGCCGGGGGGCTTCGCGCAAATTTATTCTTCTCTCCCGGAGCCAGGGTGACACTTGGTGAGACGGGCTGCAGCTTGGCAGGCCGGACGTTAGCGGGCGAAGCGGTTTGAGCGGTTCTCAAACTGCCACAGTGCCGTGCCACCGGCTGAGACTCGGGACAAACATGGCGCAGATCGATTTCTGTCTTGCCATGCGGGGACCGTTGGTCCTTTTGAAGCCTCCCTTGAAACCACCCTTGAAAACCACCTGGAAAAGGGCACGCCCAAAGAAAAAACACCCATGTGAGGGTTGGTAAGTCATGATCATTGACCCGACCAACACACACCCTCCGCCGTGCCGTGATGTCGCGACTCGGTCCCGCACATCCTATTTTTCGCGAGAAACTCCACCAGGGTAGGAAAACAGCTCAGGTGTCTGATGTCCCCCTTCTTTTCCATCCCAGAGGAAAACAGCTCAGTTGAAACTGGTGGTCCCCAAAGGTAAGGCAGGCACAAGGCAAAACTGGAGCCCTGCATTTTGGCTTACACTTTTCCAATGGGGTGCGCTGCGAGTCCGGAAGGCAGGTCGGAGAAGGCGCAGTTCACATCTCTGCCGGTAGCACTGCGCTCGGGAGAGCGCTTTGCCCGAGAATCAGCCACTTTGTGGAAACTTTTACGTCCGGGTGTGGCTTCTTTGGCTCGGTACCTTCTCGGGCTGTTTGAAAGGGAAACCAAACGGAAATCACACCACAAATGGGGATGTGGGGTCCCCCCTTAGAGACAAATCCACATTTCATGAGCTAGTCGAAATATGTGGTCCCCGTAACGAAGCTTGGACAATTTGTGTGACTTGGATTGTGTGGGTGAAATTTAGGGCTCGTCCCCATGATTTCCGACCAAAGATTATTGGACATGTTGACCAGATCTCATAGGTGCCACAAACAAGATCACTTGCCTCGCGAACGGGAGATAATGGGAAAATTGGATTCTTCCGGGGGGGGGAGAGGGTGTCCTGCCAAGCCAACAGTAGACTACCAATAACATGTCAAATACTCGTATCACAAATGGCTTGGATGAAGCACTCCGAAGCTTCATCAGACATTTGGCAAGGCGCTCAGCTAAGCGGTGCAAGGTTCAGAATTTGGTTGCAAGCCCTCAAGGAAAGCGCCCCCAGCAGCACATGTTTCTTGAGTCCCACATGTGACATGGTTGCAATCGGATGATTGGAAGATCCTGTGCTCTCTGTGCGACAAAACAAAAATGCCCAGTGCCAAGTGCTGACTGGAAGCCACCAAACCGATTCCCTGGATTTTCTCAAGGAATCCTACGAGTCGCGAAGAACGACCCGTCCCGAAGCGGTACCTCAGAGGCTCTGGCTCTCTCCATCTGCCTCTCTCTCTTTGTCTCCCTTCTTCGACTCTCTGAGCCATTTCATTGGTGTGGTCAAAACCCATGCTGTGAATCCACAGCAGTAGCATTGAGCAACAGGTTCCCTTGGGGCCCCACGATGAAGGACTCTTCTTCTGGTGCCAAATAGTTGCCCTGCCGCACAGTGTCCTATGTTCGAATCAATGTTCATCATGGTTGAAACGGCCCTGGCAAAACGCATCCAATGCCCATCTCTTGGGCCTGTTAGAGCAACGGCAAAGCTATGCAAGCACCGAAAGTGGTGCCAACTGTGAAACTCCGAAACTCCGCTGCGTTGCCCACCCCAATAGGCCAAGAAATACGAGCCATGGGCTACAAGCACGGCAAGGCTACTCGGGCTCTGATGATACGAAGAACTTGCTATCACTCATGTACGGACACGTCAGAATCTTTGAAGCCCACATTTAAACGTGTGGGTGCTTCCGAAGATAGCGGAAAGGCGCAAAATGGTGTAAAACCAAAACCACTTGTAGGACCCTCCTTATTCTAACCGGAAGCCTGCTGTCGGACCTCTTTCGCCCGACGAACGGAGAAGCGCCCGGAAACACCGCGCCGAGAGGCTGAGGCTCCAACTCTCCAACTCCTTCCGTCAGTCTGCACCAACCTGGCTGCGAAGCTCAGCCCAGCTCCCCTTGCGTCCAAACAAAGAGTGGCCCCAGAATGGTCTTCGGCTTTTTCCTCTTGGTTACCCTTTGAACCCAGGGGGACCGTGCCGAAAAGAGGAAGAAACCACCCAGGCGGGAACATACCCAGGCCTTTGAACCGGATCCTTGGGCCCTTTGGGAAAAACCGCTGGAAACCAACGTGAAGCCAACCAATTTTAGTGATTCCGTATCCAGGATCGATGCAGAAACACCTGGTTGCACCGGTCTGCGTCTTCGCCACCGAGCAAAAGTGTGGGGGAGGGGGCTCTCCAAGTGTACCTAGAAACCACGCATTCTTGTGTTGTTTACGGTACCCCTTCTTGTTGTGTGCAGAGATGTCTTCTCATGCTGAAAGTTCATACATATATATATATATAGGTTCCAACGTACAGTACACCGAAGTGTGTTTAGGGTAGTATTCCCAATTGTTCCCCCATGACTGCAATGTTGCATTGTTGCTATTATTATCATTATTCTCATTGGTACTAGTGTTGTGTTTATCTTAGTAAGATCATTGGCATTATCATTAGTATTATCATTGTTATTATTATTGTCAGTATCGTTATCCTTATAAATATCATTATGATTGTTATTATGAGTATCATTATTAGTCTCAATATTATCACTATCATTATGAGTATAATTATTACAACTATTATAATTATTATTGTCATTACTATCATTGTTATTATCATTGTTATTATCATTGTTATTATCATTGTTATTATCATTATTATGATTACTCTTAGTGTTCATTGTTTTGTCTGTTAAGTTGTTTAAAGCACCCGGCCGCGCGGTCAAATTCCGGCTCGGGGCTGGAGCCATTGGGAAAAAGGGATGGGCTCCTTGAAGTTTCCTCAAGTCCGCTCAAAGGTTTGATCCGAGTTCCTATCCTCGACTTAATCCATGAACCTTACAGATACGCCAACACCATTAGTTGCAATCAAGACATAACCCATGATCCAACTACTTCTGCGAAGGCACAATCGATGACGCCCTGGGAGCACTTCAAGGGCTTCTGTTCTGTATATTCCTCTGAGGGTGCACCCCAATTGTCTGAAAAAAACATGCCAACCGTTTGTTTATTTTCTCGCGCCGCTAGCATTAGGGGGGTACACCCTCAAAGGTCATCTTTTTCAACAGCAAGTCGTCTCTGCGTAGATGCTGCCCTTTGCAAAAAACTCACAAGGACAAGACAAAATGGCAAACGCGCGCGCGCACACCCTCTCACACAGGATGCACGTGTTGTGTTGCGCACCCGCCGCGTGATGTGTCTTCGGCTTTTCGGGAATCTTAGATATATTTATACATATGTACACATATAGCACGGACACAGGTGACACCAACTCGTCTGGCTTGCAGTTGTAACATGACACATTGTGACACATATTTGTTTTGTGCCCGCAGATGGAACGAATGACAGCAAAAGGTAGATCGTGGAAAGGCTGAGAATATACATGTGTATGTATATATATATATATATATGTACATATGCACATATGTGTGTATGTATGTATGTATGTATGTATGTATGTATGTATGTATGTATGTATGTATGTATGTATGTATGTATGTATGTATGTATGTATGTATGTATGTATGTATGTATATATATATATATATATGTATATACACATATATATAATATGTACATATATATATATATATGTATATGCACATACGTATCTTCCCCTTTTAGGCTAACATAGAGACTTCTGCCCGCCACTTCGGGCCCTTGGCCTTTGGGGCATGACGCACGCCTTTTGGCTTTTGGGGCCCCGCTCCTGCTCCTCGATCTCTTGGATGCGGCGCTGGAGCCCCAGGATCTGCTGCTGCAGGGACCTCAAGCCGTGTCCGACGCCCTTCGGCTTGGGGGAGAAAAAAGAAAGAAAAAAGCACAAGCCCAACCCACACCAAACCACATTTTTTTTGAACTGCCTTCTGTGGGGGGGGGGGGGGGGAAAATAAGCCCGAACCACCCAGCCAAGCCACATTGTTTTCCCCCCGAAGGACCCACCGGACCTCCGCTGGCTTGTTTTGATGTATCCTCCCCAAAAGACTGGTTCTGCTTGGGGAGATCAAACCTCAAACATCGATTGCGTACTACAATTTCGGACAAAGAAAACCGACCAAAGAAAGGCAAATGCCCAAACTCAGGTCTGGTGGGGACAAACTTTTGGCGTCTTTTCGTGTCCTCCCTCTGAGTCGTCCGATGCTTGGGCGGGGCTAGGATAAGCCAGCGGCGTCTTCTCCCCCTTCAGGGTTGTGATCTGCTGCTGAAGGCCTCAGCCGAGGGCAGAGGAATGGTGCACCTTGCACCTTGGGCAATTCCCATTTTTCATTAGGTTTGTCTCGTTGGATCGCTTCCCTTTGGTTTCCTTGACTTGCTGGTGCGATAGGTAGGGAATGCCCTTCCGGGTGTTGGGAATGAACCCGAAGGGGACTTCCTTAAAGGAAGCCACCAGTTGGATGTTTTTTGGGGGGGTCATTCCATTTCTCACTTTCTGCATCTCTCGCACCAGCAAGCTAAACTCGGCACAACAAAACACCTGGAAGGACGCACCTTCACGGCACTTCGCCCGCCAAGACATGGCGGCGGCGCGGGCGTTCTCCGCCTTGTGTTGGGCAAAGTGCCTTTTGACTTCGTCCTGCAAAGCCACGAGGCACACGAGGCACACGAGGCACGAGGCACGAGGCACACGAGGCAAAAGTCAAGAGTGACGGGTGGCATCCTCGTAGATACTCGTGTAGCGCTCAGCAAATGGAAGAACTGGGTGTGTTGTGGCATAACATGACAGTCTTTTTATCATGGATGCGAGCAGGGTGTGACCTTTAAGTGCATTCACGCGTAAAGGGAGACAAGTAAAAAAGGGAGAAGTGCACTTGGGAGAGAAGGAGCTAGACCACTGAACGGGGCTGTTCCCAGCTCTGGCAGACGCCAAATGGGTGTCTCAAAATGGGGGGGAGCCCTCTAACATGGTGGGTGTCCTTTTGGTTGTCCTTTAAAACCACCAAAAAAAGGTAGCCTCAAAAAAAAAACACCCCAATTTCGCCCCCAAGAAACGTCAGGCGTCACCTGCAGGCGTTGGACGTCGCCGACCATGGTCTTCTTGAGCTCTTGCAGTTGTCCCTGGTAGTGCTCCTGGAAAGGGAGATCTCCAGATGGGCTTCCCACCGTCCTAAAACAAGTCTCCAGTTTTGACATTCCCCATTGTTGGGCTTCTGAATCTGAATTTGGGACCTTGCAGATCACTCACATGGGGATTGACCAACCCCGGGCATGTCAACCCTTACAACTCCGAGTATCCTTGCAATGCGCTCAGCCGAGTGCCACCCGGCCTCGATGCCAGCTTTGTCCCCGCGCAGGCTTTCGATTTCCTCGCAGCGGAAATCGGCCGCGGAGTGCGTGAGATCGCGTCGCGCGGCCGACTTTCGCTTCGGAGAACAAGTGCCTTTGGGCTGTTCAAAAGAAAATGTCCATGTGGCCAGCCCCCGTCTGAAGAGGCACCTCAAAAGCATGGGCCCCGTCCGCCTCCCATCACCGGCAGGGTTGGGCCACGCCCTTTCAGCATGATCAGCCTTTTTGTTCCATTGAAGGGAACCGGACTTCGGTTTGACTGCGCAACCACCCTGCCTCCCAAAGCTGACCCAACAAGGGGCCACTCTGCTCCAAGGACCCAGGGTCCTTTCGGCTTCACCATACGTTGCCGGCCACCGGCAAACCGACCATGCCAAAGGCCACTCGACGCGCGACGTGACGTCACGGAGACTCCGCCGCTCCTGCCGCTGCGCCGCCAGCTCTTCGTTCTGCATGGAGATGAAGTCCTCGGGAAAATGGTCTGAGGCCCCTGAGCAACTGGGAACAGATCCCCGTGCTTTGCTGGAAAGGAAGGACACCCCAGGCAAAAGAAATGTTTGATTACTGAGCCAAGTCTGACAGAAGGGGAAACCCCAACAAGGGATTGGCCTAGTCTCATACACATACATCCCCATGCAAGCAAAAATAGGGATACAAAGCCCTGTCCCAATTGGGGGCCATTGGCATAGCTTCCAGGGATCCGCCAATCTTGAGAGCCTGAATGATGGGGATCCGTACTTGTTAATGGCCACCATATCCAGCTTTGATTTCGGATCACACTGCTTGAAGGAGTATGAACTCGCCCAAAACAACATGTAGGGAGGTTCAGTCTGACATGAGCCATGCTCAAACTTCTGACCAGAGCATATATGGGAATGTCGCAAACTGGATCTTTCAGGAAACCAACGTGAAAACAGGCATTGAGAAGGGTCTCCAGTCAAATTATCGTACTATCCCAAAATTGAACCAAGCTACCTAATGGTGGGTTGTCAAAATAAATGGGACAACCCTTTTGGACCCCCAAAAGGCCGCAGGCGGAACAACATGAGTAGTTCCCTGGACAGAATACAAATATATCCTGGAAAATATATTCCCTTTAAAACCAACAGGGGAAAATGAAAACAATATTCTTCAGGAAATGGAAGCATAGGGGGGGCCGAGTCCTTCAACGCACTCCCCCCCCCCCCGGGCCCATGACCAGCAACCCGCGAATCGAACCGGCCAAAACTCTCCTCCAGGGCGGCCAACTTGCCCTTGAGGCCCGTTGGGGCGATGCTTCCCATGGTGGCGTCCATGCTCCTGAGGATGGGGCGAACCCCGATGAAGCAAAAGGCAAACTCGACTGGATCTGCGATTCCCATTTCTGGGAAGCAACCTGGAAAGTGATGGGAGCCTTCCCGTTGATCCCAAAACAGGGTTGCTAAGCAACCATAAAACTGTACCACGGGTGGTTCTTACAAACGTCGAACGCAGGTCAGGCATTGAATTAGAACAAAGAGGCGTCTACACAGATGCTAGTTGCTGCGCATGAGTGACATTTCGGAGTCATGACAAAGTTGAGGCAAACAGGCACCCACATATCATAGCGCAAAAAAAGAGAGACAACATCGCACGGCTACAGTTGCCATACATGGCATGCTACATGCTACACTGAAGTGCTGTAAAATGCTATTGCCTCAGAAGGCAGCTCGGACTTCATTCGAGAGAGGCCCCAAGGCGTCCCAACTGTGATGCCGCAACTTGCAGTTGAGCAACAAAGACTCCACTGCGCTTGTGGTGAGGGAGTGGCAGAAAGAGATGGAGAGAGAGAGAGAGAGAGAGAGAAATAAGCGGAGAGTAAAGGCTACCACCCACCTTGCCTGCAGACTGCTGTCAGATCTCCAAGGCTCCAGCGCAAAGCCGCAAAAATCCCCACGGGGCCCGTGAGCGCTAGGGCACTTGAGTGCAAAGGAGCTGGTAGGCAAAGCTCGGGGCAACAATTAATAGGGAAAGACCCAGCTGGAGAGTGCTGCGGAACATGCCCGATCTGTGACAAGATGGGGTTAGGGGATTGCAACTTGGCATCACAAAGGTGGCCCAACATCCAATTGTCATTTCCCACAACCATAAAGCCTGAATAGGAAGATGATGTTGTTTTGCCGGGATTGGTGTTGCCAAACCGAAGCAAGCTCGTATGCAAGCATGAAGGCCTTTTTCTGAGCTTGAGTGCGTGCAGGGCCTACGGTTCGGCTGGTTCGAAGGTCCAGGGCCTTTGGGCATTTTGCGCCCTCGCATTCGCAAGAAAGCCACTCAAGTATTGAACCAGCCGAAGCGGCCCAAAAAACGAATGGCATGCGAGACGAATCTCCTACCTACCAGTTTGTCTGGTACTACCTGCTCGTGAAACCTTGACAGACCCTGCGCTTTTTCCAAGCATGCGACCATATCTCTTGCGCCAAACACATGCGCTTTTGTTACAAGGATCGGATCTGAGGAATCTGAATCGCAGAGGCCATGTCATGGGCATTGGACAAAGGCACCTCTCTAAGAGCCTGAGCTTTTGGATCCGTCGTGGCCCCTGCAAGCTCTGGGCGGCACTGCGCCCTGCTCAGCGCGCGCAGATCACTTCATCTGAAGTGACCTCGGAATATCCAGGGCTGGCGCTACTGTATCATTTGGTGTCAATGGACAGTCTCGAAATCAGAAAATGCAAGTCGTTGAAGGGTGACGAATCTCAGACTGGTGTCACCTCTCATTCTGTCAATCTCGGTGAGGAAAGGATGGATTGGGAACCCTGACTTAGAAGCCAACAAAATCCTGGGCTCCGACGTTGGTTTGACCCCTACCCGTATCGGTTTCGGGTTCGGTGAAAGGGAGCCTCCAGCAGAGCAACGGTACGCCAATGCGCAAGTTGGAAGGTGGCGGGGATAGGGCCAAGCCAGAGAAACAAATTGATCAAAGAAGGTCCTTTCGGTGTCCCTTCAAGTTTGGCCCGTGGTGACCACAACGCTGACAGCTCCATGTTTGACCACAAGCTGCATGTGATGCGCATCCAGCCGACGCTGCGACGTAGTAATTCACCAACCTGAAACAAGGTTAGGTGAATCCTCCTTTGCCAATTGACATGGAACCTGACAGGGACTTGGTCCCTTTAAAAAGAACATAGGTCTTCCAGGACCCCCTGTCAGGTTCCATGTTGGCACCCCGAGCGGTTTCCCCTCGTCAAGCCTTGGCCTCCTCAAACCCAGCGATTCGGACACCACCCGCCCCCCACATCGGCCGAGCTGCTGCGCGCCGCACGAGCGGCAAGCAAGGCTTGCGGCTTGCTCCGAGCTACGCGGCGCAGCATGCGAATTAGGACGCGGCTTCAAAGGGTTGGGTATCTCCAAATGTCGCGGAAAGATTCGAGGTGTTCTGCAAGAAATATAATAAATGCGCGTATTTGTTGTAAGTCTTCATGTTTCTTCATGTTGTGCTACAGGATGTCTGTGCAATTCCGCCTGTAATCCTTCATGTATTTATGTGTCACAAGATGTTTGCGAAGCCCAAACTTGCCAGAGCTTCTCTAGAAAATCCCATCCTTTGAGGGCTGTGAAAGGTGCAGAGACATCAGCGCAGTCGACGCCGGACCCGCTCTCCGACAGCTACGCATCTTGATTCTGTATCACAAAATATCACAAATCAATGCATCCAGTGGCGTCGAGGAGCTTGGCTTAGCAAGCCAAGCTTGTCAAGTGTAGTGCTAAGGCCCAGCTGGGAAACGCCCAGCCGTGCCCGGGACGTGTTTCAGGACCCCCGGACGGACGGAGCCGTTTCGGCGCATGTGGCCATGCAACTTGAGATCCTGAAGTCAAAAAGATCGAGTCAGGCAACTTTCAGACTGTGACGAATTCGACCCCGGTTGGTTGATGAATTTCTGGATCAGAATGAGGGGCACGCCAAATCTGAGGGAATCCTCTGAGAAAAACATCCATGAATCCTTAAGGTTATTCGACGCATCAAGCGTCGGTTGCCCAATCGATTCAAAGGCATCCCGAGCTTCAAAGATCAAGCTCGAGCACAGGGATGCCGAGATCAACCTAGGCGAAACACATTTCGCACGGCTTCCCTGAACAATTCCCATTGTCACGCGACCCACAATGGAGACCCAAAAGGGTCCTACAAGCAACCCTCCCAGGCGTTGCTAGCCCGTTGGAGGAGCTTTTGTGGGGCCCTTGACAACCTGGCAACCCATGGGAACACTGGCCGTGTCCGCTTTGTTTGAGAGGCTCTGCAGCTGAGCTAAGTAGCTGACCAGACCTCATGTCCAGAAAAGTGTCGTTAAAGAGATGCCGAAGGCCTGCACAACGCTGAGGGGGTACCTGGAGCGAGCCAAAGAAATGAGGTTCTCTTTTTTTTTGATGGTAACCCGTGTTGGGGGCGGGGGGGAAGGGGTACAGGGAATTTCTCAGTAGAAACCGCTCAGTTTTGGGGATGCCCAAACTAAAGACACACCCAACTCGAAAAACACCAAGGTCGGACGTGCATCTCGAAGCGTTTTTAGTCGCACTTGAAGTCCAGACTGAACGTTTGAGGTCCAATCTTTCCATACCTCGGTCACAGGAAGCGCCCTGACAAGGGAAATTGGACGACTTCCAAGGTTCCAGGGCATCATTCAAAGCAAATCACCTGCTCTGCCTTTTTGACAGCGCCAACACCTCCTGCATGCCCCACGGTCCATGTGCTTCCCAACACTGACCCACAGCTTTTTGGAGGCTGAAAGGGAAGCCCAAAGGCGATTTTGAGAAACCACCCCCCACCCCCCACCCCCCCTCCCTTTTCCCACAATACTCCCGTTGTCGGGTTGTCTGCTGATCAGAGTCTGATGAAAAACCGCTCCGAGTGCAGCACTGACAAAGCACGTGCTCGGGCTTCTGCGACCTTCGGGACATTCCATTGTTTCCACGCAAACACCTACTCAAGGAAGGTTGGATCAATGTGTACATATAGTATGTGTATATATATATATATGCACATACCCACACCTTTCATATAGTAAATATAGCTGGGGCAAACCATCTTGCATCCATCCCCTGGTCCGTGGTGGTCGACATGTTGTCAAAACTAGGCCTTTGTCCTGAGCCTGGACAAAAACGATTTCAACAGGGACCTAACAGGGCAGCACTAAAACCGACTGCTTCCATTGAAAGGTGTGAATTGTCATACGAGACCCTTTAAACGGAAAAACCCCCAATTTGGCGGCGCTGTTTTGATACATACCCATTGCCACTTGTCATTTGTCATTCTGCTTGAAAGCCAAGCACGGGCTCACGAGGTCATGTCGGCGAATGAGTTTCAACCTGTTCAGGAAAGAAGCCCCCTCAAGTCATGTTTTTGTTTTTTGTTTGTTTTTTTCTGCCAGAAGCCCCCTCAAGCCATGTTTTTGTTTTTGTTTTTTTGCCAGCAAAGGCCTGGTCATTCACACGGTTCCCAACTTGCAAGACCGTTCCCGGACTTCGACATTTTCCGCTCTCGGCGCCCGGCAGCGCGAGCTGGAAGTTCTTGGCCGACGACAGGATGTGCCGCCCCTTGAAATCCAGGACCAAGCTCTCGACCTGAGGAAGCGCTGCAAAAAAAAACAAAACGAAAACACCGGGCCTCGTTTTTCAGGGGGGGTTCCTCAGCTGATCTGACTTGGTTTGGGGATTTGAACCCCTGGTCCTTGTGGAGGGCAAATGGGACACCAGTTCGGAAGCTGATTTCGTCTTGCAAGACTCATGGAGCAGCCTCCAAACCTCTCAAACTGTTGAGAGAGCAAAGCATCATCCTCTCCGATGCTTCACCCATCCTTCTTTTGAGAAGCCACCAACATTCTCTGGCTCTTGCTACCTAAAGAAATGGATCCCTGGCAATGGGGGAAGAGCTAGAAGCCATGATGATCGACACTGGCCTCACAAAGGACCGGCGTAGACTGAACACAAACACCTTGCGGCCCCATATCGATGTGACCGAGTCAGGCATTTCTTCAAATATTGATCCCTTAGGGCAGAAAATGAAGCATCACCGTATTTCTTGGGACCAAAAGATCGGCTTTGGGTCCAAAAAAATACAAAAGGGTCCTTTGACCAAACCGGATCGCGCCTCATCATTCCAAGTGGGCTGCTTGGTGATTAGCCGCTGGGCCTACGCAACCAACACAAAACACTCCATCCGCAGTAAGGACACCTGGAATCGAGCCCGAATGCCCTTGTCTTTTGGATCTTGTAAAAAAAAAAAAAAAAAAAAAAAAAAACTCCATTGGCCTTACTATAATCCTTGTTGAAACCAAGTACGCGTGGAGCCCCATTCTGGAATCGCCCATAGAGGGCTCGGAGCCGCTCACCTGAAACTATACACAAGCGACCAGCGAAGCCCCTGTGGGCGCATGAACCAACCACCGAACCACCAGCCACCGCAAGCGAAATTTACAATTGGATGCCAACAAGCTGCGAGCTGAAAGACGGAAAACAATTGCCCGAGAGTAAAGAACACCAACCAACAAATCATTGGAGTGACCTCTGCTCTGCAAGGCTGCCTGGCGTTCTCAGTATGAATCTTAGCTGGGATTCTGTGGGCATCTGGCCAAACTACTCGAATTGTCAAACCGGAAACAAGGATTTCCCAGGACCTTCTTCATGGATCGGTATTTGCCAGGATCATTCACATGGGGAGTATGTTCAAACCATTCAGATTCATTGCCATTTCTTGTGCATCGACAATGTACAACTAGAACAAACCACATGTGTATGTATATATATATATGTATACATATATATATATATGGGTGTGTCTTTTTGGGGGTACCCTTTTCTGGTTGCTTTGAAAAGGAAACCAAGGGAAAAACACGTTTTTGAGGGGTCCCCTATTTTGAGACAACCCCATGTATGTACACACATCTACACACTCATATCCAGTTACATCCAAATATGTGTGTATCTCTCTGCATATATAGTCTCCCTTGGTGTGAGGGTCCACCTCACTGTGGGACGCATGGCCTGGAAGCCCTGCCACTTCACCAGGCACCTCATAGCTGTCGTCCATGGGCGCGGACAAGTCTCCTCTGCCAAGTAGCGGACACCAAACCTCGCAGCTCCCAACAGCGTCCATGTGCCCGGCTTCAAAGCCGTCAGTCCTTTCGTTTGCCTCTAGACCAAAACAAACGTGAGCCACAATCGAAACCCGGTGTTGAAATGATTGACCCGGAACCATGTAAGGAAATACCAAGGCGGATAGCCGCAACTATTTATGGCTGGGATGCTCCCTTACTACCCTTCATCTACCCGAATCGGTTTTGATTGTCGCTCACGGACGCTTCTAGGTGGAACATTCCATTGGACCACGCCATTCCCAGCGAAGAACGCGCATCTGAGCGGCACACGACTCGACTGCCGTCGGCGTAGAGGCCTGGCACCTGGACAAGGAAGGACCCCCTTTGACGCCCAGGTTCGGACCCATTTCGGTTATCCCTTTCTGCGTCGATGTTTCCCGAGCTGATGTTTGTTGCTCATCTTAAACGTCACTCCAGGAAGCTCACCTCCAGGTGGCCCAAAATCGCCGAGACTGGCTTCAACAGGCAAAGATCGGCCCCCGACGAGTTCGGCAGTGCCGGGCTCCCCGGCATGAATCTCCATGCAATTGAAGATCCCGTCGCCCACCGGCTTTCTGTGATGCCGAATCCAAGCCACCTCGCGAATCGGGGCTAATATTCAGAAATCCCCGAATGGCAGAGCGGTTCTGTGGAGGGTACGGGTCAAGAACCAAGGCATCCCTGCACCCAGCAAACCTCTGCCATTGCGTCAATGATGTAACCGCAGGCTCAGAAGTCCATGGGACACCAAAATCAACATACACCGTCACAAGAATTGTTCATGGTGAGTCCTCCTCTTTACACCCGTGATCAATAAGTAATAATCATAACAGAAATAACAACAATAATATCAATAATAGTAACAAGAAGAATAATGATGATAATGACAATAGCCACAATAACCACAATAACCACAATAACCACAATAACCACAATAACCACAATAACCACAATAACCACAATACCCACAATACCCACAATAACCACAATAACCACAATAACCACATAACAACGAAGCAAGCCATTCTACCAAGGAAACTGTTGATCTCAAGTTGGATCGGCCTGCTGCTTGCCGTGGCAAGTGCAGGTGAGATGCGCTGGAGAGAACCTGCCGGGCTCAGCTGCGGCTCAAAAACATGGAGGTTTAGGCCTCGATGCAAAACCAGTTGCTCCCCAACACATGAGTCACAATCAAAACCCGGTGTTAAAATGGTCTACCCAGAACCATGTAAAGAATTAAGAAGGCGGCCGCAACTATTTCTGGCTGGGACTGCCCCTTCTAAGCTTCATCTACCCGGGTTTTGATTGTGGCTCACATGGACAAATTCGGTCGTTTTGTAGACCCCCAATACTCTCGTTTCGCAATTCGGTCCCGTTGTAGACCACCAATAATCTTGTCTTGTTGCTATGAAGCTTCAAATGTGCTCGCACCGAGTAAATGTGTCAGGCTGACTGGCAGTTCTCACATCTTTCTTGTACCAGCCGCCACTCCGTCTTCTCCTTCAGCATGTGCTCAAACGGCGTAGCTGCTGAAACAACAGTACCCTGGCACCCGCAGACTCCCTTCAAGGGGCTTTAGTAGACCGAATCCCAAGCGACGAATCCGTGCGACTCAGGCCGAAGCTGAGTTCCAAGTCATGGTGAACGCAGGCCTCAGGGCAATGCGTGGTTTTCGCCTTCCAGCCCTTGGCCCATGAAAAATGCCCCTGGCACAATGAAAGCCTGGTGTCAAAACAGTCTAGTCAAAACTCTTGCGCCACTGGTCGAATCGTTGAACCCATTTCTACCACCTGCAGGCCAAAACATGCTCGAGTGTGGGGGCGCTAGCCTATCAAACATGGCAAGGGCCCATGACAGCGCGAGCAACAAACCATGCGCGTGTTCACCTTTTGTGGTTGAAAGAAGCCATGGCCGCAGCTGCAAGCAAACAAGCAAACCCAGAGATTGGGTGCTTTGGGAGGTCACTCAGTGCCCGGCTTTTCGTAGTTAAAGAGGTTCGAACCTCCTCTTTCGCTTGGGTTGTAAAGGTAGAACGCAATCCGGCGCGCCTTGCCAAAAACGTCGGTAGCTGCTTTTGGAACGGTTGGTTACTGTTGACCTCTGTGCAAAAAGTTAACTTTGTCTGGGTCCAATGGGAAATCCAGTCTCCCAAAAAGTTCAAGTCCAAAGATCCAACCAAATAGCCATAAAAACTGAGTGGGGTCATGTTCTTCTTCTGCTGCCTCTTGCGGCTTGGTGCACTCGGCGCGCCTCGAGGTTCGCACGGGCATACATCAGAAAGTCCTTGCTCACGTGAGCAATGCGAAATACGCCGTGCGACCTACACAAATCGCGGCAGGCGCACGCCGTCATCAGAGAACAGTCGGTACTGCATCTTGTCCTGCAGCAGTTGGACCACGGCTCTAAGCTTTGCCCCTTGCAGGAGGTGAAGACAGCTGAGCAAGCAGGCGCTCGCAAGCTGCATCTCAAGATTATTTTGCCCCGCTTCTTCGCCTTTTTGCGACCAAAGATATCTAGGCTCTTCAGTCACATTTCTCTCCGCCTTCCGCTTGATTCCATGGCAAGCGCGTCATTTCTGCAGGAGGTGTTTGTAGCCACCTGGATCAACGCGACAAGCTCCACACAAAGATATAGCCAAGAAAACCAACAGCACCGGCCTACATTCTTCAGAGGCTCGCAATGGAATCGTCCTTCGCCTAAGTTCAGAATCGCAGACTGCAAGCTCAGGTTGCTTGCAGACTGGGACCCCTTTCCAAACGGTTGTTTCTGCTTTGCTTCTCGAACTCCACTAGTCCCCAAACAAAGCTTGATGCTGAACCCTCATGGGCCTGCTTAACGGGTGAACCCCACAATTTTCAGTGGTGTCCCTTGCCACAAAAAGTGGCCGACTTAAAACAAGACGCAATAGACCTGGTGCTTCACTCCGGGGTCGCCGGCACCAAGCCGGGGGCTCTCTTGTGGAGCCTCTGCCTCACCTTGCGACTTGCGAAAAAGCCGAGGCAAAGGCTCATGTCCCACTTGCACCTGGGACAACCCTGAGGAACAACCCACAAGCATGTCCGTCCACAGGGAGGGAGGGGAGGGAGGGAGGGAGAGAGAGAGCTAAAAAAGGTGTCCTGTTTGAGGATCGCAAGAGTTGCCTGCCATCCATGAACCAATTGTGTTGGTTTTCCCGAGTTTCGCCCAAATGTCCCCAAAGCATGCGACCAGCAATGCTTGGCTCTGCCCATCACACAGGTTGCTTTGCTCAAAGCGAGGCTGCAAACAGAACCAAGGGGGTTGGCAGAACTAGGTGGCACCCCTTCGGTGTGATTGTTTGCTGGCTTTAGAGAAGGCCAAGAACCACATCACGAAGATTTAAAAAAGAAATCATGTCGAAACAGACTACACAGGGTCGTTTTTTTCCGTCCTGTTTCGCTTCTTCCCTTCCCGTCCCCGAATGACAAGCCCCCATGACAACTCAAAGCATCAAAAAGAGCCCATTGCGCCAACGCGTGAAGGAGCTGCGAAACCTTAAACGAGTCAAGTGCCCAACATGGACTCCCACCTTGGCAACAAATATCCGTGATGACAAGTGGAATGTTGATTGATTCAGGTTTCTTTGTTGAGAAAACCCCAAGGACGCACGTACGCAGCTTGATTTCCAGCCAAAAGGAAGCAGAACTGATTCCGTTGGAGTCTGCCTCGACGGTTCAAAAAGTGCTCACCCCGGATCTGTTTTTTCCACCACTGCCCTCTCCTCTCTCTGCTTGATTGGGCTGCTTGACTCAAAATCTGTGGTGATTAGCGGGAAACCCAAGAGAACGACTACCCATCCTGGCGAAAGAAAACCTCGAAGCGTCCCAAAACGCATTCGTCGTTCGGAAGCTCAGCATTGCGTAACTCTCCAAGACAACGTCTGGCTGTGGCTCAAAACAGCCGGAATTCCAAAATGGGTTGCCCGATCGGTAAGTGGAAGCATAGACCAAAACCTGCGGTTTGCCCCTCCTGTTTAATTTTGAGCCACACCCACATCTCTTCTGGATGGTTTTCAAGTAAAATCCGGCGGGAAACTGCGAAACCACCTGCTCTGGGCCGCGGGCCGGGCTCTTCCACCACCGTGTCCGGCGCGAAGGTCCGCCTAAACGAAAGGGCAGCCACGGCCCACGGCGAAAAATTCCCACTGTGGGAACTGGGGCTGGCCCCTGATGGACCCAGAGTTGATCAATCTCCCTTGATGTTCATCAGGGGAGGGGAGGGGAGGGGAGGGGAGGGGAGGGGAGGGGAGGGGAGGGGAGGGGAGGGGAGGGGAGGGGAGGGGAGGGGAGGGGAGGGGCCCCTAGAATTCAAGCACGGCGCGACGAATCTGGGAAAGAGGGAATCCCACATAAGGAGCTCAAACCCAAAAGTGCGGGTTAAGCCTAAAACGCACGCCCAAGGCAGCGCCCTGAACAGGAATCGGGGGATTCAGCCGGTATCAATCCCTCAGCAGTTCAGGGGGTTCCCTGACCCTTGATTTCCGAAAAAAGGAGCTCCTCGGATGCCCTCAAGCCTCTTTCGAGCGCATCAGGCTCAGACAGATCTGCTTAATGTCAAGTGCCTTTTTGATGTCGGCGTCGTCTTCAACTTCACTTGAGAATGGTAACAGTCGTTCAACCAGCTCCTAGAATTCCACGCGCCTTTTTGTGGATGCTACACTTCTGTAAATTTGTGGATCCGGGCTGGTTGTTTTCAAGGGAACAAAAATGGGTTCCCGCCAAATCGCCCCATAGAAAACCACCCGTTTTCAAAACGGCATTCCACTTGGGCGTGGTTCCATTTCTTGGAGCTGGTAATTACCCTTTTGGGTTGGCTTTACGAGGGAGACCAAAGGGAAAACCACAATCTTGGGGCTCCCCTAAAAGAAGACACCCCCATTTGGCCCCTACAAGAAAAGCCGCGCCCATGTGCGACCGAGGCATCCGGCTCGGAGGCCATGGAAGTGGTCGGCCGCACCGTCCCGGAGCACTGACCTAGCAACAAACGGGCGAAAAGGAACGGTTGTTGGCAAGGCAAAACATCCTCACAACTACCAACTCAAAATTCTGGATCAGCGCAATACCTACCCCAAGTTGTTGCTTGACTCATCGCTTGAGTCGCCTCTAACCCCCTGCACTGAATTCCGCAGGATGTTGTCTGATTGGTCTCACTCAAAAAAGAAACAAAAACCAAACACACCCAAAAGGCAAAAACAAAAACACCAAACACACCAACCAAACCAACTAACACACAAACACACAAACACACAAACACCAAGCACCACGCAAGAAAACCGTGCAACACCTCGCCTCCCGCACCGAAAAAACCCGAAACCACCTCGACCTCTCCGATCTCCGAGGCCCCGGGCGCACCAGGGACTTCAGGCGCTCGCCGATGGAGGGTCTGCCTGCGGGGCTTCGCCGGCCCCTCGCAGATGAGAGCTTTCCATGGGGGGAAAGAAAAGCCTTCCGCCGCGTTCTTTAAAAGATGGAGGGTCGAAACGTGTGGTGGGTCAACATCCAACGCCAAATCGGAATTACCCCCAGTGAACATCCACCAATCCAACTACTAAAAACAGATTCTAAAATGGCTGGTGCATTCACCTACCCCCAAAATGGGATCCCATTGGTTTTGACCCACGGCCATGTGAGCAAAGACCCGCCTGAGCTTCGAAAGGCTCAAAGTGTACAGGTTTGAATCGAGTGAGCACATCAAATGATGGAGTTCTGCGGGTTCAGCCTGGGGTGATTCGATGTAATCGGCCAAAGGCTTCTTTGCAGCGGGTCTCAAGGAACCGTTGTTACTTGAAGAATTTTGCCAGATTAAAAAAAAGGACTTCCCCCTAGTTCAAACAAATGCCAAAGCAACATGTCCCTATTCGCTGTCAGCTGAGTCACAATCAGTCTGCCCGAATCCAGGTAAAGCGAATACCCCATGTCTACTGGGGCTGGTCCCTCAACCTGAAAACTGCCCGGGATTGATTGTTGCTGGCATGTCCCTCCTGAAATGCCGCAACCACTGGGAGGCTCAGAAAGCGTGGGTTCATAAACCGGAAGCCCCAAAAAAGACGCTAACCGTTCTCTCCGGTGCCAGCAAATACATAATGTTGGTTCAAGAGATGCGGGAAATGTCAAGGAACACAGGTGTTCTGTGTGTATGTTTTTGCATCATGGACCAGAATATGTTTAAAAACTAATGTACTTGGAACCATTTGCGGCCATTTTCCACCAACTCCTCCAATGAACCCCCCCCCCGCAAACCCCCCGCAAACCGCATCCCCACCCAACCCCCATGCTCCGTCCTGTCTGCTGCACTCCCAGCCGGGGGGCAAGAAGTGGCCGCGCCTGGAGACAGGACAGCCCTCGGATTTCCCCGATCGAGGATCCTTTTCCGAAAGCAGACGAGGTGGTTTCAGAAAAGGATGGGCAAATAGAAAAGGGCACCAACTGCTTGATCTGCAAGGTTTATGTGAAACCAACTGCACTCAAATTTGGGAACCAAAAGGACAACCACCCATTTTGGGGGTGCAAATCCCAAAAACAGGCACACCCAGTTGGGCGACTCCCAATCCCAAATTCTGCTCGCCCTGCCAGAGTCGCTTCGGACTGAACAGGTCAAGGCCCAAACGGTTCGAAGCATTGGGCCGGTCACTTCCCTCGCACTGGATTGTGGGAACGCAGGATGGAAAATATAAACCACCTTGACATCTTGCTGGTTTGGGGTGAATGGATTTTTCTTTCATTTTGTTGGCCACGTCCTCAAGTTTGGGGTGATGTCCGGGAATCCTCCGCTGGGACAGTGTCCTAATCCACTGGGGCGATTCCGGGGTCGGATCCTGCAAGACTTCAGCCAGACCGAGCCGTACACACCCCGAACGTGGAGACAGCCGAAGCTCACATCATTCGAGCCCACTCCAAATACCCAGAGCTTTTTGGACGTCATGTCAAACCCCTTACAAAAACAAAAAGGACTTACTAATGGCAAACCTGGTGATTAAGAACATACGCCGGAAAGTACCGGGGTACTTGGAGTAGGGGTACATCTTCCGCCAAGGGAGCATCACCACCAGCATTTTTGTCACTACCAGACATACCTTTCAGGCAAGAGGCCTTCAACAGCATCACCGACAAGGCCAGTGCCAGCATTGACCTTGGTGGCCTTACAAGAATGATGGATGCTGCCGGTAAAATGGACAAGAATTAAACCTCTGCGTTTTTGGTTCAACCACCGAGACCTCTCAATCTCACAGCTAAAGCATCACAAAGCAGCCACGCCCACCCAACTATTTCGATATTTCGATATGAAACGCCGACACTCAACTCGCCCCGCATGGGAGATGGGGATTTGACCCCTTGCATGAGACTCAGGGGCATTCGTGTCAGACCAGGAACCAGCAATCAAACCATCAGTCGCTGCGAGCTAACATCTTTCGGCACCACTTTCTTCTAAATCGCAACACAAAGCAGCACACGTGTGTTTTTCTTCACTGGCCAGGGGAAAAAAGACATAGAAAGACAAGTTGACCCCATCTCTCCATCGCTACTTCACCCTTGCAAGAGTCGAATCGGCCACGACTCCGCCTGCACGCGCAGGCGCACATACCCAGCAGGCTGCTTGGCATTGAAGATGGGCACCGTCAGCTCCTCAGGCAGCTGAACGGATCCCCACAGCTGAAAGTGTCCAGCTGTCAAATTCACTTTTGTATCTGGGTTGAAGTGTAATAATACATGTGTATATACATATGTATATGTATATGTATATGTATATGTATATGTATATGTATATGTATGTATGTATGTATGTATGTATGTATGTATGTATGTATGTATGTATGTATGTATGTATGTATGTATGTATGTATGTATGTATGTATGTATGTATGTATGTATGTATGTATGTATGTATGTATGTATGTATGTATGTATGTATGTATGTATGTATGTATGTATGTATGTATGTATGTATGTATGTATGTATGTATGTATGTATGTATGTATGTATGTATGTATGTATGTATGTATGTATGTATGTATGTATGTATGTATGTATGTATGTATGTATGTATGTATGTATGTATGTATGTATGTATGTATGTATGTATGTATGTATGTATGTATGTATGTATGTATGTATGTATGTATGTATGTATGTATGTATGTATGTATGTATGTATGTATGTATGTATGTATGTATGTATGTATGTATGTATGTATGTATGTATGTATGTATGTATGTATGTATGTATGTATGTATGTATGTATGTATGTATGTATGTATGTATGTATGTATGCATATATATATATACATACATATACATAGTCACACACACACACACCCCTCTCAGCAAGGGGTCACACCTTGGCATGTGCATCTGTTTGTACTGCCCAAGTGGCAGCTACTGTATACCTTAAAAATACATACTGTGTGTTAAGCATGTGTTTGCCCGGGACGTGGTTTCGTGCACAAAGCAGCGTGTGAAAATAGGATCGAAACTCGAAAACGGAGTCCGTGTTTGCTCTGTGAAACTTGGAAGGAAAGGAAGCGCACGGCAGTTCGCTTGAGATTAAAACCTCTGACAGATCAAGTGGCACTCAAAACTGAAAAGCGGGCAGGCATGTGCAGTATATATGCATATTTCCATCAGAGTCTATCATCTGCCTAAATCGTACTATCGAAACCACTCGACGAACTCGATGTCTCTCGGCAACGAGCGGCACCGAATATCAACACCTAGAGCCATCTCCTCCGTGATCTCAGGGCGGTCAAAAAGTTGCGCTAGCCCGTACACGGCGGACCCCACCTCAGCTAGAAAAATCCGCAAATTCAGTCAGAGCCCACCGCCTTGTACTCGAGCAATCCTGGTCCTCTCTAAGTTGCTAGGTTGTGTTTTCTCCTTTCCAGACACATACCCTGAAAACTCACAGTGACTGGGGCAAACATAGTAGCTACTCCAGATCCAGGTACTTCGAATGCGACGTTCAGGGCGCAGATCTTTCGGAAAGCGGCGAAGTCATGCAAAACCTCCAGCGCTCTTTCAGCCAGGCGGCCGTTTTGTGTCTGCTGCCTCTGGCTTTCCCTCTTTCGGGCCTGACGCGTGGTGCTCCAGCTTCCAATCGCAAGCGAAATCCAGGCGCGGCTGTTCGGCCTTTGGATCTCGATGACCACCTCCAACTTGCGCATGGCACTTTCTGCCGAGGTATCCTCATCCAAGAGCAAGCAGAACCTGCAGCATTCCCCCAACGAGGTTGGAGGGTTTCCTGTGAGGTATACGCCAAACCATTTGGGGCTCACTTGCCCAGGCGTGGAGAAAAGAAAGGACGCTCGCTCGGTTGGTTGAGTTGGTTGCTGTTGAACAGAAGCCCTCCAACAAATGTCAAAGGATCGCCAAAAGGGAGGAGAAAAACCTCATTGCCAGACCTCTCTCAGCCCGCGGCGGGTGCTTCCAAACCGCATCCACACCTAGCGACCGGAGCAAACCCTCAGCAACCTCCTTCGGGGCCAGAAAAAGATGACCACCTCCCGGGCCCCTCCCCGAATTCGGCTGGGCCTTTGGACCTATGCGAGGAGCTTTGCCCACCAAAAGGTGATGAATATCCACCAAAACGGCCAACATGTCGAAGGAGGGAAGCCCTAGTCACCAGAATCACCAGCCTCACTTGGACCCAGGGCTGCCTATTGGCTCTGTTTTGGCGGCACTGGCTCGGGGCTGGTTCCATCGCTGTGTGTTTCTTGGCTGGCTTTGACCTTGGTGAAGGTGCGGCTTGGGTTCGTAGGGGTTTCAGTTCGGCTCGGCAAAGGGCTGATACCCAGCCTGTTGCTTTCAGGGTTTTGCTATGACTCGTGGGCGCGGCTTGCGGCTGAGCTTTTAAGACTTTGGGCGTGTCTCTTTTAGGGGACATCCCCCCGAAGAAGGGTTCCCTTCAACAAACCCCCCCCAAAAAAAAAGAGAGACTAACTTTCCTTTTGGTTTCCCTTAACCCCCCCCCCCTTATCAAAAAAAAAGTCCCCCCCATCGCAAAAAACAACAAAAACAGGGCCGCTATCTCTGGAGCTCGGAGAACCCCGCCCGCACCTGGGGCCCCGGGCCCCCTGGTAGCGATCCGGCCTGCAGCGCTCGGCCCAGCAGCAGCCGCCAGGCCTGCCGATCGGAAAATCGATCGGAAAGAATCGGCGCGAAGGATGAGCCTGGGTCAAAACGCCTTGGGGTGCGGAAGTGAAAACTTCCCCCCTTTGGGTAAGTGGAGGCAAGGCAGATGCAACCTGCGGGTCCTCTGGTGCTGAAGTCTGTTTCTTGACCACAAACGGGTCCAGAAGTCTTGGGAAATAGAGTCCTGGTGTAAATGTTGACCCATACCAAGCTGCATTTCTTTCGTTTTCCCAACTGTGAGTGGTTTTAAGGATGTGTGGTTTCTGGAGAAAAAAATGAAACCCTGCTTAGTACTGTTTAGGTGCGAAAAGCTCACCGGGATCACACGTGAGGAGAGAGACACTGAGCCTCTACACATTGAGTCGGAGTCTTGCAGCTTTCAAGAGAAAAGACCTGACCGTTCTGAACGTTCATGGATTGTTGGGAACAGGTCGTGTCTTCCGACCCTGAAGTTCATGAATCCTTCCAAAGGAGCAGTGTCCGACGCACTGCAGTCACCGGTTCCATTGTGCATAGGAATGCTCAAACCATCACCAGGGGAGCTCCACAGTTAAGGAGCAACAGAGCCGGCGAAATGAGTGCTGGATGAGGCTGCGTCTTCCCTTTTTGGGGATGGCCTTTTCAGCACCAAGCACCCAACCTGGGCTCTCCGCTCCTCATGCTGTTGTTTGTTAAATAGGAGCTGAGCCCAGCCCGTGTGCAGGGACTATCTATGGAGACAAACCCATCCTCGGCTGAAGCCATCAGCGCCTCTTCGGAGATGTTGCCCATGACATGCCTCTCCACGTCGGTGGTCGCCATGCCATCCACTCCTGGTTAACCAAAAAAAACAACGCAACGCCGCGGCGCGTCCCAAGTTCACCGGGCATTTTTGAGATGGCCCAGATGGAAATATTTTGGCTCTGCCCGCACCCCACTCACACTTTTGAAGACCATTGCAGTCATGGCTGATATGCTTTTCCAGCATCAACATTTTTGTGGGGAGGGGGTGTCCAAGTTGGACCCAAAAAGTTGCGTCGTGGTTTCCTGTTTGTTTCCCTTTTCAACTCCCTTCACACTTTGGGCGTCTGTCAGACCTGTCCCGAATTTGGACGAAGGACATCACCCTCCCCTGTGAGGTCCCCCCACTTGGGTGTCCTTTCAGTTCAGTTTAGTTGAGAATACATGCATGTTCCTCTCTTTTTCCGCCCAGGTTTGTTTGAACACACCCACAAAGTACCACTACTTTGCATCGCCCCCAATGAGCACAGGAAAAACCACCCACGCTTCCAGGGGCCACAAAAACCCCTTGTCCCCCAAATAGAAACCCAAAAAGCTAACTCCAGGCTTGGGGCTTTGTAAAGCCAAATGTTGGCCTCCATTTGGGTATATTTCATTTGTTGAGGGCGCCCTTCTTGTTCGGTGGCTTCAAATTTGGAAACCCGAGAGAAAAGCCCATTTTTTAGGGGGGTCGCAATTTCTTCTATGGTTGAAAAATTGAAACTTGAGAGAAAAGCGTCTTTTTCCGGGGGTCCAAATCCTAAACGAAGACGTAGGCCCCGCGTTCGTTGTGAAGCCAAAAAGCCCCGGCTCCTGCCAGGTGCTCCAAGGCCCCTAGGCTCCGCAAGGCCTGGTGGAGGCGTCAGGCGTCAGGCGTCAACGGGGGCGGGGAGCTTCTTGGAGCCTTTGGGAGGGAGGCCTGGGGCTTTGGGAGACATTGGGCGCACCAACCACCACAACGCGTACTTGCTAAGCGGAGGTGTGGGGATAGCGCCGGCTCCAACTGGAGAGCCGACAAGCCCTTAAGGCAAGGGTGTGCGCACACACGTACACAAACACATTCAGGCACTACGGATGTTGGGATTCCTTCTCAGCCCTACGGTATTGCTTCTGTCTAGGGCCTCGGTCTACAAAGATCCTTCAAACACAAAAACCCTTCAACCAGTGAACCCTACTCAGCGACAAAAACGGCTAAAAAAGCAGACGATGAAACAGCTACAGCAGGAAAAGGAAAACAAAAATAAAGGCGCGCCCCAACGATCCCATCGCTCCACCTAACGGTTCGCCCCAAAAAAGAAACGTCTCTCCCTCCCGCCTCCAGGCCGTGCCGGGCCGGGGACGCCGCCGCCACGGCCGGGGAGCTCTGCTCGGTGATGGGGCTGTTGAAGGGTCTCCTCCCGGCAGGTCTTCGCTGGGCCCAGAAAAACAAAGCAAAAAACGACCAGGGTGGGGAGAAAAGGGAAAACAGGTGGGAGAAGAGCTGCAAGAACCAGCAAAAAATATGACCAGGTGGGAGCAAGGGAAATGAATGGATAAAAGATTGTTCATAACAGATCCAAATGGGAAATGAATGAATACCCTTCCTCCAACTAACATAGCACCTGTGAAGGAGGTACCTGGAAAGTTAATCTCCTTTTGAAGGGACCCCCTGTCGGTTGCCACGTTAGTTGGAGGCAGGGCAAAAGACTGTTCATGCCACGAACAGATCCAGATGACCTGGTACAGGTTACAAAAAAAAAAAAGCCAAGCCAAGGGTCCTTAGAGGAGTCTTCTCGCTGCCGTGCAGGATGGGGGCTAACGGATCAAAAAAATGCTTAGGAAAAAACGAGCATCAGTAGCTGCAGTAGTAGCGGCAATAGCAGTCGTAGTAATAGTTGTTCTTGCTGTAGTAGCAGTGGTAGCAGCAGTAGTAGAAGTAGTATTTCTTCCTCCAGTTCCACAGCGGACACCAAGTAACTAACAACCTTGCCAACTTAAACTTCCTAGCTTACCAGCTCACTGACTTACTAACTTCATGCCCTTGCTCCAGCTCCACGTGCCCTTTCCTCCATAGTGCACAAGACAACAAGATCCTGACTGTCCTGTGGTCCGGGGTAAATGCTGAATTATTCTTCGTTTGACGCGCATGCCCAACCTAGCTGCCGAGCAGGACGAGCGGATGGGCGGTGCCCGCTTGGTTGCTTGATTGGAACACAAGCTGCAAATGGCACTGTTTTGACGTATTGGTTTACTGGTTCAATCCTGGTATTCTTCTGAGAGTAGGTAATTTAACTGGTTGAGCTGGTTACGTTGAGTACCTTCTGGTTGATTAGCTGGTTGAACTCTTCTGGATTTGTTCATTTCTTTGGAGAATGTAAGAAGTTAGAAGCAACCAGACCCTCAGGAAGCCCGCCCGCAGAATTCTCCACCCTCCTCACAGAGACGACGGCCCAGAGCTCGGTCTCGTCCTTGCCGGGCTGAGGCGAGTCGGACAGCAACTGACCAGACAGCACCCCTGGTCGGAATGCTTCGGGGGCACTTTGGAAGGAGCCTTGACAGCGGGTTGGACGAGGGCACGCCCTTGGGGTTGCTACTTTCTTAACAGCCACGAGGAGAGAAAGAAGGAAAAGGAATCATCTCTTTATCCATCATCATCTTTACCACTATATCGAATCATTTTTACCACTATATCATGTCTTCCTGACTTTGCCGGGTTGCTGCCTACGTTGGAAATCTCTCGCCCGGACGCCATCTCCCGGCCTCCACTGCCTGCAAGCTGGTTGCGTGGAAAAGATCCTGAGAGAGTCGCGGTACGGCAGTTGTACACAGCAGACCAACGGGAAGAACGAGAAGAGGGAAGACAAAAGGCAGGAAGACAGTTATAAACTGGAAACAGGGAACGGAACGAGGGACCTACACGCTATGCACTGGCAGCTAGTCTCCAAAGCAAGCAAAAGGTGCTGATCACAGGGTGACAAAGCCTACAAAGGTGATGAGAGCTGCTGTTTTCAAAGGCATCGTAGATTGTGGTTCCGGCTTTTGCTTGCAAAATGTGGGGGAAAGTACAAAGGATTTGGAGAGGCCCCCCCCTTTCACGGTTGCACCTATTGCCCCGGTGGATTTTCCAGGGGTGAAACCCCATGGCTGCTGTGGATCGAGTTTTTTGCTAAGCGTTGGGTCCCGGGAGTCCACGGCACAGCTCCCTCGCTCTGGATGCGAGCCAAGTCGAATACCCCGCGGATCCGTGGCGTGTAATCTCAAGCTTTTGCAGGTTGCTAATAGCCTAATACCTCGCTTTCGGTTTGGCTTCCCTCACGTTTGCCTTTTTGGGTTTGCCTCAAAATTGGGTGACCCTGTAAGTGTGTTCCCTTTGACGTCCGTTTCAAGATGCCCCACAACAACGTGCCTGCTCCAAAAACTCACCGAGCCAACTTCACCTATTTTGATTCTGGTCCGCACTTAGTGAATGTTACAGTTTATGCGGGTACCGGGAAAAATGGAAGGTTGCCAAACTCGAGAAAGTGCCCCCAAAAGTATTAATCCCCAAAAATGAAAAAGGATCAGGGCGACCAATAAAAGAAAGCTTGTTTCCAAGAACAAATAAAATAGGGTCTCCCCAGATATCTTCACCGCAACTCTTCTTCTCCAGGAAATGTGACCTCGACTTCTCCAACCCCACCGTATGAATAATTATTTGTCTGCTATTATACCTCAAAATCAAGTTTGTGCCCGCATGTTGAAAAGAGTCATGCTCAACAATGGGAATTCTGAAGAGGTTTGTCCCCCTACCTTGCCCCAAAGAACCTCAGCTTGCCTTTGCTTGCTGCTGAGAAATCCCTTGGCTCCAACCCCCCAAACATGCAAATTCTGAACAAAGGTTCGAAAGCGCCAGGCCGGCAATTCTCCAATGCCGGAGTGAGCCAAGCCCTGACTCCGAAAATTGAAAGGAAGGTACCCGGCAGAAGGGTAAGCAATACCAACCAAGACTAAGCCAGTACTAAGGCAGCACTTTCTACCGAACCAAAACTCAACCGATGATGCTAAACCAGTTCTAAGCCATAAACAAAAAAGTATTGAACCTAGACTGCAGTACCAATTCGGTACCGGTACTAAGGCATCACCAACCAATACTAAGCCAATACTAAACAGAAGAGGAACGAAAAGGACCCATACTAAACCAACGCAAGAGCGACTCAAAGCAATACAAACACTACTGAAATCATGGCTAAACCAGTTCCAAAAGTCAGTTTTCTAAACTACCACAGCAGCAACAAGCAATAAAAGCTCATCTTTTGGAACCTTGACAGAGACCGGGTCCAGTTTAGCAAGGCATCCTCAATGTGTTTTACCCCCGGAAAGCGGTTTAAAGAGCTTGGGACGCCAGCATCACCAGGTCCGGACCAAACGAGGGGAATTGAAATTTGAAAACCAAAAAAAGATAACAACTGGGAGTATAATTTCGCACCACCAAAAGAAATGAAAAACACGTCCAGCTCGGATCGTCCAGGGCTCGATGAACAGCAGCCAGCTGCTGCGCAGCGGTGCGCCCAAGGACCAAAGCCGGTCACCTTGCTCGACGGAATCTCCGAAGCCTTCACCTCCCAACCCGCAACCAAAAAGAGGGGTATGGGCCCCCGTTTTTGGGAAACTCCCCTGTGGTCCATTTTTTTTGGGCAACCCTGGCTTTTTGTACATTTTAAAAGAGAATCTGGTGGCCAAACAGGGGGGGTCGCCAGATTGAGTAGTCACCAGCTTGCTTACGCGAACCCTCTGCGAACCCCAGCTGGGTTAGCCGAACTTAGCCGAACCTAGGGGGGGTTAGTGGAGGGTTAGTGGGGTGTCCCGCGCGTAGCCAGCAGGCACCAAAGCAATGCGATCCTTTTTGCGTCAAACCAGGCAGCCATCGTCTTTCAGTGGCTCACTAGAATCGGGGCCTGTCGACACACGATGCATCATCGGACAAACAACACAACACTTGAGAATCACAAAAAGACAGTGGATGGCCTGCCTGATGGTGTGCTTGGCCCAATGGATGCGACCAAGCCTCAGCCATCATCCAGCTCCAGCAATAAGCACATGAGCGGGTCATGTTGGTGAAGTCAAGCCATGCACTAGCGTACGCGTGGGCAAAATGAGGACCGCTCCCTTGCAAATCGCCCAAAGCCTGGGCGTGAGGGATGCTTGTGAACCGCAAAACCATGGTCAACTGTCAAGGCCACGGGTTGGTGTGTTGCAGGTGGCTGGTGCTCGGGCGTTGGGTGGTTTTGCTGGTGGGTTTTGCAGCGGTTGGCTTTTTGCAGCTGGCTCGTTTGTTGTCGACGCATTCTTTATGAACCTGTTCTGCTGTTGGCTGGCCTTAGATGGACATATTTAATCAAAAACACCACCCACACAACCACAAACATAAACACCCACCCACCCACCCACCCACCCACCCACCCGCCCGCCCGCCCGCCCGCCCGCCCTACCAGCCACCCACCCACCTGCTCCACCCAACCCACCCGCCCCACCCACCCACGCCCACCCACCCACACCCATCCACCCACCCACCCACACCCACCCACCCACACCCACCCCACCCACCCACACCCACCCACACCCACCCACCCACACCCGCCCGCCCGCCCACCCGCCCACACGCCCCGCACAAACCCGCCACACCGTGCCACACCCTGGCACACCCACTCGCCCACACAACTAGGCGCCAGACACGCTTGCCCTTTTTTCCAAGGAGCTGCTCATTTGAATGATTGGGCTGTATTGCGGGGTTTATATCCCTGGTCCTTGGTCCCTGGTCGTTGGTCCCCTGGTCTTTGCTTGGTCGGCGCCTTGATCTTTGGTATCATTCGTGCTAGGACACACACGGTAAAGACACGAGCGCTCTTGGAAACAAACATGGAAGCCAAGCATGTCCCGAATTGTTGGCCAGTGCTCTGTCCAAAGCGATCTTGCGGATGCACCCCTCACACCCCACTCTCCCACACCCCCACACCACCACACCCCCACACCCACACTCCTTATATCCCTGCACATTTCATTATTGATGTTGAACCAAGATTGCGCTTCTGACCGTGGCTGCATCGCTGAACATACACCAATCACAATGGACAAAGGCAAACAGCAGCAGAGTATCGCAATAGCATTGCTGCTACTCTAAGCTGGCAACATGGCAGAATCTGATTGACGAAGGCCGAGACGAAGCCCTGCGAGCAAATGCCAGTGTGTGAGACTTAATTAGACTGAGCGCCAGGCTTGGACCCTCCTTGCAGTTGATGGACCACCTCGGACTCCAGATAAACAAAGCAGGACAGGGAAGCATCATGAAGACATGCTCTTTTCGCCAGCGCTTGGCACATTTTGACTTACATCGCGTGCTCGACCTGACAACAAAAAAAACCTATAATCACGTGGCCTTTATGCAGGGCAAAGCCGTGAGACCACGGCGTGACTCAATCCGACTCAACGTCGCTCAGACCGCCCTTGCCACTCTTGGGCTTTTGAGGGCTGGACATTTTCAACTGCTTGGCCCCTGTTTCAGGAGACCCTTGCTTCTTGGTTGTCTTCCGGCTCTTCCGTGGCGGGGTCTTGACTTCAGGCTTCTCGTCTAAAGTCCCAGCGTCAGCGCAGTCCTTCAGAAACAGCGGGCCAGCAATCTTGATGTCCGGGGACTTTTGCAACAATGACGAGACGCTCAGGGAAACCAAATCCCTCTTCAGGACTGCTTTGGCGAACGAGTGACCGAGGACCAGCTCTGTGTCATCACCGCAGATGCAGTCCGGGAGTGGCAGGACTTCTCCAGTGGGGACAAACCGCACGACCTTCTCACCGCTCTCATTATCCTCCAATCGCCAGTAGCTGTGGGCAGACCAGAAGGCCTACCGGGCAAAGCCCAAATTTTCAAAATGCGACAAGCCCTAACATCCAACATTAAGCACTATTGAACTACAACATGTGACACGCGGCATTGGTGGTGGATTGGTTCTGCTTCAGGCCTGTGTGGTTGCATCCCCGTCTGAGTCAAAGAGCCAGTCTTTGCAGCGCTCCCCATTGCGGACCCAGCGGTCGCGGAAGTAGTCCCTCAAAGGCCCAACCTTCTTGGTTGGCAAGGCCGAGGCAGGGTCCATGTTGGTGAGATATGCCAGGATTGACCCGAGGTCGGCTTTCGGCGTCTTTTTCGGCAAGCTCTCAATGAAAGCGCCCATGGATGGAAGGAAGCCGGACACGAGCTTGACCACGTTGTCCCTGGACAAAAGGTGGACCTTGTTTTGATAGGGTGGGAGCTTCTCCTCGGCCTCCGATTCGTTCTCCGACCCCGAATCCCAGGACCCTGACCGCACCTGACAGAGCATGGCGCTCGTTGCCTCAGGATGCTTCTCGCACCAGTCCATGAGTTCCTTCAAGTTAGCCTCCTGCGCGACCTGAGCTTGCCAGTGGGCATTATCCTTGCCCATGCGCTTCTGCTTCTGCAACAACTTCAAGTCCTTCATCGTCTCGGCTTTCTTGAGCTGGCCGGCTTTCTTCCCAGCCATGGCCACAAATGATTAAACGCTACAAAAGTCAGGCCTCTCTGACAAATGCCTGAAGCAGCAAATGGCGAGATGCAAACATGCTCTTGCGCCGCGCGATGGCATGAAATGTGAGACAGCATGCGCATGCGTGCTCGCTGACACAAGCACGCCGCAGCCTTTGCGACGCTCAGAGCGTGGCCCGTTGACATTGACCGTGCTGAATCTCCAGACCTTGGGGCAGCCCTGCGTGCTCCCTGCGCTGCGTACACCCAGACACTGTGGCCACTGCAACCTTGACCTCTTCGGGGAAGGCGGCCGCACAACTAGCCCTATGACCTGTGACTCGCGCAAGATGCCTCCACGGACTGCGCGCATTGCAGGGTAAAAGCCTGCAAGCAGGCAAGTGAGATTAAGCAGGCAATCAGATCAAGCCAGTCAGCAAGCATGGCTGCAACAAAGAACGCAGTGTGCAAACTGCCCGGAATCTTTTTTTCGCGTGCCACAGGCTGCAAATCTTACCTCTGCCGGGCTGAAACAAGAACACGTGGCTGTGAGTTCGACCACTGCTATCGACAACTTATTTTGTTTCAAGCTGCGCTTGCCATCCTTAACGTTGGGCGCTGGAGTGCTGCAAGCTGTTTTTGTTGCGGCTTAGGCTCCTTGTGATAATGAACAGGTTTTCCCGAACGCCAACCGAACAAGTGACCTGACACATTAAGCTGCAAGTTTTTCCCTGAAGCTATTTGAACGTTAAAGGTAAATACAAGTGGCCAATGGAAACAACCAAATAGACGACTAATTATACCAAAGCCAGCCTCACAGGCAGAGTCAAGCAGGCCAACTGAAAAATCAACTTGAATACCCTCCCCAAACTTATGATTAAAAGCAAAGGGATGGCAACATGTCGGAGATTCAAATTTTCAGCTTTCCGCAAAGCAGTTTTCAAAGGCAAAGTGAAGGCAGCCAATTAGCTGATTGGAACATCGACTTGAAAATTTGCCCCGGAAGCAGCCTAGATGAAAACGTGCGGGCAGCCAAGTGGAAACGGAGGCAGCAAACTGGCAAATCTAATCATGGAAGCAAAGTCAAGGCGGCCAACTGGGAAATTAAATCGAAAGCTTTCCTTAAAAGCAGTTTTCAAGGCACAGTCAAGCGGCCAATGGCAACATCCAATTGCAAGTGTTCCACGAAAACAGCCTTAGATGAAAAGAGCAGGCAGCCAAGTGGAAGCAATTCAAATTAATTTTTTGAAGCGAAGGTAGCCAATTGGAAAACCAAGCTGGAAGCCTTCCCCAAAGACCCTGCTGAACGGCAGCCAAATGGAAAACAGACCCGGGAACTTCTTCGAAACATTTATTTGTTTTATGGCTTTCTTATTGTAGACCACTCTCATGCCACGACATTCTTGAAGTCGAACGGGCACTGGCAGTTTGGGTGAAACATTTTGTGCCTCTCCCAGGCGCCTTGCACAACCGATTCCACTGGCGTTGACTCATTCCCGCTTGGCCCCCAAGACCTGCTCATACTCCATCCACTTTTGTGGAAAATCCGCCAACACTTGTTAAAAGTGTCACGGTAGCACCGATAAGAGCCATCTGGCAGCCACGCAGACACACGCTCTGCATCGAAGACCCTGAAACTTGCAAAGTTGACCGGCTTTCGCTTGACAGCTTTTGCTTTGGACCCTGCTTTGCGCACGCGGCTGATTGCCCCTGCAACGTCCAAAAATGCCTGATGAGAGGCCTTGGCTTGCTTCAAGGCATCTTGCACTTCTTGTTGGTCTCGAGCGTGAACGAGTTCTTCGAAAGCTGGCTGCTTCAGCAAATCGATGAGGTCTTGTTTGTCGTCCGCGTGTCTATGGTGCAAGTTGCTCTCCATGATGTCAGCAGCCTTTTCTGGTGAGACCTTCAGCGCCTTTTCAACGCAGACCCGCAAAAGTTCCCCTACGAGATGACTGTCTTGGACCGCGGCATCCTGGGCAAACTCTTCTTTTGCCAAGAGCTTCAAGATGCTGGCTGGCAAATCCCAGTATGCGTGCTGGGCACTATACTCCAGAAGCGG